CTATCCAGGGCTAAACGAGGTTGGAAATAAAGTAAGCACTGGGGACGAGGTTGGGGATTGATTTTGATGGGGTTGGGAAGGTTTAAGGTTAACACAACCAGAACATATTGAACTGCCAGGATCAGAAAGCATACTGGACGTAATGGTTAACAATGTAACAATCAACATCAGTGTGTTCAATTGGGTTAAATTCGTTTAAAAAATTAAAACTCTAAAAAAATTGAAAGTTTATGAATGATTTTTAAAAACAATTTTCGGGCGATTTAAATCAAATAACCCTGATTTAAATTGCAAAAATGACTATTTTAGTGTCCGTGCATCGTGTGCTTGGGTCCTAACATAACGAAATATTAAGGGGAAAATGGTCTTCCCGATTAACTTGCAGCTTATCTTTTCATGAGAAATGTGGAGCGAATATAACGATCAGTAGCACAGCATGGTCCGTGTGAGTCATCTGTACTTCAGGATGTCAAGCTCAATTACTGGCAAGCGTCATCACGATCTCTTATTAATCAACAATATCCGCCCCTTCACCCACAACGTCTTACCCAGTCCCCTATGTTTGCTTTGCACATTTCCCAGCTTAACATGTTAATTCCGCAAGTCCTGCAGTTGGCATACTTGTGTGTTGATTCAATAAGCAATGCTGCTGATTGATACCTATGTACTTGTGTGCTAACGACCGCGAATGTGGCCTAATTCTTTAACAATGAAAGGATACTACATTGTATCAACACCGCAATGACCATGCAACTGTATGCTTGAGCGCTATGTTCTCCGAGTATAAGACTTGTTTCTGAATAAATGTTAGAGCGAAATAATTCCACCAATTGTTGTTATGAATTAAGATCTTCACTTTTGGAAAATCATGACAGTCACCACCAACCTCATAAAACTGATATCACCATTCACACCCATATCGAAATTAACATACGTGGGGTATGCATCTGGGTGCTTGATGTGACTTAATGAAACTTTTTGTTGTGTACAGGGTGTCCCAAAAGGTAACCCACAAATATAAGGGAAATATGAATAACCGGTGAACGTATTAACCATTATAATGGTTTTATCATAAACAGGGGCAGCAAAGCACACTTTTCGGACTTAAAGAGATCGGAGAGATGTGCGCTGAAAAGTCGGCCCGATCTGACCGGACACCGGGCGACCGGATGAAATCATAAATGTTTGATTTTTTTTCGCATTCGATTTCACCAGATCCAATGTCACCGGAATTTGGAAAGGTGTGCGATATTTATGTTTACCAATTAGATTCACGAAGGAAGTCACATGATTAAAAATCGGTGGCTGCCATTTTGTCAACATGTGACTGATCATCATGTGACCGATTAAAGAACTGAATCGGGCAAGCGTGCGGGTATTCCGATTTCCGTTTCGGTCTCTGCAACAGTGAAAAAACCGTACCGGTGATCCTACCTCCATGATCTGATGATCTGGTGAACCGGTAAAATCGGAAAGTTGTGCGGCGGGCTTAAGTTTTCCATAGTTGATTGCATTCCTCTGGTCATCCTATGTCTTGAAAATGGTGCATGTATGTGAAAAACTCTTTATGGACATTTTTAGATAAAACATTAACATATCCAGACATAAGATTTAGACAATTTAGAAGACACAAAACATGTCTTTGAACAAACCTGGATTTTTGTCAATTGATGATCTTGTGCTGCAGTTCAAGTTCCATTTTGAAAGTCAAGAAAATGGTAGCTTCGACATCCAATGCCCCAGCCCACAGACACGTTGCTGTCAGGAATCGCTCACAGGGAACTATTTGGGGACAGAGTAATTGCACTGAATCTTGTTGTGGAATGGTGGGGGAGGGGTCCAAGTACAATTTAGTTTTTCAGCAGTCCATCTTTAATGGCAAGACCAGGCCAACTATATGCGCCGCCGCTGGCAACATGCGGAAGGGGATCGGGGTTGAATATCATCATTATTTTGACAGAAATCCTGTTTTGTTCGGCATGTTTTGATCATTTACCTGATACATCTGCATGTGCCCAGGTTTTACACCAAAATGTCCCAAGAAGGTTTCACAAATTCAAGACAATTGAGCTTAAAGGGAATATACATCATTTGCTTTTGCTGTAATTTTCAGAAATGGATGGAATTGGGGGATTGGAAATATAAAGCAAATATAGTTACACTGACTTTTTGGAGGTTTTGGGTTCGAAAATGCTATAAAAACCAAGAAAAACGATCATTTACCTGTAGTCTGGTTCCCTGACTCCATATAAGAAGAAACAGAGCAGTTTACATACATTGGGGAATTGTAAGGTCAGGGAACCAGTCTAGCTGGCTCGTACCCGTTCATTGGTTTGTAATCGATTGCAAACAAGTGCAATAGTCAATTGGGGCCAGTATTTGAAAAAAAGCCAGTTGTTTCCAACGCTGATCGGCCGATCAGCGTTGGAAATTGATACAAAAATACCACTTTTCTTGAAAATGACAGTATACCAGGTGCCATAATTTTACAGGATGCTTTAGACTGTCATTTACCAATGCCTATTAAGGTATTTCGCAAAAACTTGGTAGTTTTATTTTTCGATGTTTGCAAATGTTGTATATTCCCTTTAATGAAGCATGTCCAGAGGAGTGCAATTAAAATGTCAATGGAAAGACTGCCTTTATAGTTTAATGATAGAACTATACAAATGGTTATTGAATTCATAGCTTGGTCAAATTATCACTTTGTTTGTGTGTTACCTTTTGGGGGACACCTAATATGAATTATCTGAGAGACATGGAACCTGTAAAGCCCACATACATCAATAATTGAAAATGAAGACCTCGTACGAGCAATGAAAAGAGCAACGGGCGCGCATTGTCGTTAATACGGCTGAAAATGCTTTACAATTTGAAAGGCTGCGTGTTCTTATTCCTCCATGGTTGCATTCAACGCAATCGTGTTTCAGTTCGTCAACATTCTTCACATAGATCACATTATTGTGTTTGTATAGTTGGATCGCAACTACAAAACAGTAGTGTCTGCAGAAGGTATCTTGCTGGGTTACAATAAGTAGGCTAATTAGCCAGCCAGCTGGTTTCCATCTACGTGACAGGTGGGGAGGTCAACCATCAACCCATGGTCTGTACAATGCACACTTTATGCAGTCACAGCATGGCGTGCCATACTCTCTATGCCTCAACACGACAAAACGGTACTGCCATTTCCCCGCAAATCCTCACAGGGAGTTGGTTACGAATAAATCACTCTTGGTCGGCGGAATTTTGCAAGGCTATTTTTTTATGGTTCGTGCGTGCCAAGCAAATTCCTTTTATAGTGTGGGCATGTGGGTTATGCCGCTGTATAAAGCTAGAGTCCAGAGATTAAATATGCATTGTATCATGATTGTATCGAAAAGCGGTTATAACTCGATGCTTTGACTGTACTAAAATCAGGGGTGAGATTGGGAGAAAATGAAATATCCACGAAATAATCCATAGAGCCTTAGAGGATTTGAGGGTCGCCGAAGGCCCAGAGCAACGAAGGGTCTATGGAATATGCTTGTACAACTTTGCCAAAAGGCACCCCTAAAACCAATTTCTTTTGTTCTATATACCTTGATAGGTAAAAACAGGCTTACAGAAAAACCTCTGCAATTCCAAAGGGATTCTTTTAAAAAATCCTGAAATCACAAAAAAACTCCCTTCAAAAAGTCTTGAAATCGGAAAAAATCCTGACAAAATATCCACAAATCAGGAAAAAATCCTGAAATCAGGAAAAATCCTGACAAATCTCACCCCTGTTAAATGCATTTTGAAAACTCAGGTATCGAAAACAAACTGATTAACAAAGGTTTTAGATAAAAAAAATACTCATGCATTGGTATTCCGTTTGTCATGCGCCAATTTTGACAAACTGCGAGCAAAAACAGCAATTTTATGCAGTCAGAAACGCCGCAAGCATCATTGTATCGAAGTTCATGCATTGTCATGCTTACTGTCACCCAAATCGGAGCCCAAACATCCATGAGTTTACTAGAACTAGGACCTAAGCACCAGGACAGCAACCACCAAACCTAACTACAAGACCAAGTGGCAGAACTATTTTGTTTTTCGCGTTTCCTCCGTTTGTGTGTTGAATGAAATTAATATGAAGTCATTTGCGCGGTGGAATATGGTTTTAGTCATGCTGATAACGACACGATGCCAATATCGTCTAATATCGTCCATAGTCCATGCAATGATTGATGCATGACGGTCACAAACCTAAAGGTTCAAGTGATTTTTCCCCGAAGGATTATAACTTGTCCTCTTTATTCACGCCATATTTTGATTTTACAATTGTGCAGAACAATCCTCCAAATATGACAAGATACTGATGAACTTAACTTGCATAGCCCAAAGAAAAAAGAGAAGCTACGGGTAAAGTGTTTCTTTATGAAATGGCAGAACACGGTATTGGCCTGAAGACTGTAGTAGAGTACTTGTGTCGTGAGACAAAAACTAAAGGACTGAAACACGCACGCGTGACGATTCGGCGGTGTCGGGTACAAATTCGTATTTACACAGGAAAATCAGAAAGCGGTTTCAAACTTTCGGTTCGACAACCAAAATATGCTCAATCAACGTTTGAGTAAGGACCCACCCATGCTGATAATCACAACTAGGTACATTTTTTATATACTATATAATATTATGAAAGCTTGAATTTAACATCGACATACATTAATAACAATGATTAATCCGTTTTACTTTATTAGCTACAGGAAGTGCATTTCCTGTCGTGGGGCTTCGACAGCTAGCTTGACATGACCTGAATGCTGTATGTCCCTGCGAAAGTTAGCTTGACATGAACTGAATTCTATGTCCCTGCGAAAGTTTCGTCTTTGAACGTGTTACAGGCATGACAGGAATCATTGCTTCCAGACTTTTCATGTCAACAGCTACAATAAAGATTATGTTAACTAAGTATATACATGTACATAAAACGCCAAGCACCCACACTTTATGAGGTAATGTTGAAAGACAAAGGGAATTACCTGGTAGACTCATGATTGTATCGGCCTGGTTGACAGCTGATACCTCATTCGATGTATAGTTAAACATTGTGCCAGGCATCCATGGTAGTGTGTCGTCTGAAAGAAAGTACAGATCCAAATCCTCGTCCTCGAATTCCTTGACATTTAAGGAACGGTAAAGATCCAGCATAAACAATGGCGCCGAGTGATTCTGCGTGCTTTTCACTGCTTCGGGTCGTGGTCTTCGCTTCAAACCCAAAAGGTTTAGAATTTCCTCTTGAATGTCCCGAGTTTCCTCTTGGCTGTATACTGAGCTAGACATTCCAGACAGTTCGGAGCTTACATCTCTAGGAAAACGACGAATTTCGTTGCTTGAGTAAAACTGTGCGAGTACACCTTGACATGCAAGGAGGATACAAAGTAAGCTGCACGTGCGACTCATCTTGTGGTTGATCATGTAGTTCATTCCTATATGTCATAACCATACATTTATTCCATCGTTTATTCAACAATTAAACTATTTCAAGTTTAACTCTGATTCCCAAGTAATCGAAGTATCACACATGCATCGTTGTTCGGCTATTTTGGAAGCAGTCTCATGTATGGTACGCACAGTTTGAACTGTGAACAATCACTCCCCACACTGCACTATCATGAGACGAACCCTCTCAAAACCTGAAGAGAATGTGGTTTTCCGCAAGAGTTGTCCCGCATTATCCCTACTCGTGGCAGTGTGTAGGATTACGAAGCTTTCATCTGTTGTTCAAGCTTGGGCGCACTATTTCTGAGAAACTTCATCTCACCCGAAGGAGTCACAACTACAACAATTGTCTCACGTTACGAGTTAATGCTGAATTCACTCTTGTTCCATTCAAACTTCGTATAAAAGCCGTGTAAAGCTTGGATGGTTAGCCAAAGAAACCACGTGTATACACAGTGCATAGCACGGACATAGCCTGCCCACTGTCGTACTGCTGTGAAACTTGAATACGTAGTGCACCCGAACTATCGAAGTACACAGCAAAGGGTGCTAATAGCTAACTTCAATGGCCCTTGTTGTAGTAGTAGGCGTTATACAATCTGCAGACACGAAACATTCAAGGCCAAGCACCCTTACACATTTCAAACTCCTGAACAATTATTCATAAGTGACGTTACCTTTGTCAGTTCGTGGCTCGTGAACGAAAGGCTATGATGTTGGCAATGGCAGCTTGTAAGGCGAGGCCATGTTACCTTTAACTTAGGAGTGATGAGGTTGACATAACACTGACTTATTCCCATGCCATCGACATATCAATCATTGACGGGCCAAGTCAACTAAGCAGGGGTTCTCCAAACTGTTAAAACGAGAGGCAGGATGCGAGGGGGACAAATCTTACAAGAAAATCGATCCGCACATTTCGCGCCCTCAAAGGTTACCTCGGCGGGATGGGAACGATTGGCTAAATAATGGAGTCCTTATAGAACTTCTTTTTAAGTTTGACTTCCGCTATATGGGCGTGAAAATTAATTAGAATTTTGATCCAAAGGGGTGAGAATGGATGTAGCTGGACATAAATGGACCAAATCATTACTTGAATCATAAAGCAAGGAACTGATTTGATTTTATAAAATTAAACACACTTTAATTCTCTTTGTAACTTGGCGGGGGTTGGGGGTTGGAATTCATTGATGCTAGGCGGCGCACATCCCACTTTCTTTTATTAATATTTCACGAATCCGTGGAATGAGTAGCATCAATATAAATGCAGTCGTTTCCAGCACACAAGAATTGACACTTGTTTGGGAGGAAGATGGGCATGGGCGCCCCCCCCCCCAGCCGACCGATCCCTGGATCCGCCAGTGAGCGTGAACTAGACTATTCTTGGTGCAACATGCAAGTTCCTTGTCCCATCCACGAACTTGACTCGGTTGACATTGTTATGGGTGTAGGCCAATAAATAGGCCCGAAATTGCCTCGCTGGCCAAATCACGATTTGCATGTCCTGAAGTTATCAAATATTAGAGTAACATACAATGGACGGTAGGCATCCTTTTTAAAATAGCGATAGGCTTTAGGACTACTTTCAGGGGTGCTCATCTTTGGATAGAATTTTCTCCCAAAAGTCATCTGTTAACCCCAAAAAAATTGAACAGAAAATGAAAGATGATGAAATAAGCTTTAATTTGAGGTGTGTTTCAAACACCTTTGAGAGTTGTGAGTGTTTTTCATAATTTTTGGAAGTGCGGTCTATATGGCAGTTTACTGGTCTGCATCCTTGTGAACTGGCGTGTTTATAAATAGTTGAGTAGGTATGGGGGACCCCCGTGCACCCCCCCCCCCCAGAACTAACTTTCACCAATTTTTTGGGTGCCTTTTAGGATCCTAAAACACATTTTGGATGTTAACAGAAAAAAAATCCGATGCAAAGAAGATATCCAAGATGGCGGCCAATATGGCCGCCAAAATTGGTAAACACTGGGAAAAAACATATATCAGCCAAATAATGTGCTAAAAGCATAAATAAAATGGTAAGTTATATGTTTTAAACCCTCAAAAAATCATTTCTGGTATCCTTTTTTTTGCTATTATGCTTCAAATTCAAGATGAAGGCCAATTTGGTGGCCAATATGGCCGCCATATTGGTAAAAAATGGAAAAAGTCACATATCAGCCTAATAGTATGTTAAAATCATAAATAAAATGGTAAAATACGATTTTGACCCTCTCAAATTCATTTCAGGTATCTCTTTTTTTGCTATCGTGTTTCAAATTCATAATGACGGCCAGGATGGTGGCCAATATGGCCGCCAAAATGGTAAACAAAAGTCGAAAAAAGTCATATATTAGCAATAAAATGAGATAAAAGCATCAAAAAAATTGTTAGTTATATTTTTTTACACTTGCAAATTCATTTCTGGTATCTATTTCTTGCTATCATGCTTCAAATTCAAAATGGCGGCCAATATGGCGGCAAATGTAGTGGCCTATATTTATCTTTGGTACAAATCCCCTGGTGTACGTGCGTCACACACAAGGAACGGTGCGCGTCAACCAAATGTCCTGCCCATGGGACGTCGTTGCTAGGTAAAAGGGCCCCCTCTTTCGTTAGCGCACGGAGCCCCAAAATAATGTTATTTACTTTCGAATGAAACACCAAAAGAAAAATAATGTCTGCGATTTGCAGTATAATCTGTTCCTTGCTCTATGCTTGCAGCCCGACAATAGTGGATCTTTTTGTGTGCTGTTGGAAGTGCAAAGGCAACCCTACATACACGCAGCGGCGTAGCTACCGGGGGCGTGGGGGACGCACGCCCCCCCCCCCCCCCGTAAAAAAAATCGCCCCCCCCCCCGGAAATTTGACATTCGGAGAAAATCATGAAACCATGATTAACGTGTTTCACAGAAAGTGCCTTTTTTCACATTTGTATTGGGGGGGGGGGGCGAAAACCGTGATTTTCGCGATTGGCTGTTTATTTTAACGTCCCGTGGAACTCGTATAGCGATACCCGTTGTTTGACAATGACCAAGAATTCGGTTTTAAAAAGCGCCCACATTGAAAGATAGTGTCCAAATAAAGATGGTGTTCTTCACTTTACGATCCCGACGAAAGTCAAGAAGATGAACGTTTGGGACTTTCCACATTCATAACCAAAATAGTGGTAATCTAAATGTACAAACTTCAGATTCACATACTTTGTGGTAATATTCCGTTTTACTCGTGTTTCATTGTTTATATCGTTCATAACAGTCAGAGAGGCAAATTTTATGGACAATCTCCAATGGTTAAAATCGTCCGCACGTGTCAGGAAACAGACCAGTGCCACACATAATACATGAACTAGCCAACAGCTATACGCATTGACACAAAGCTATTCATACTCGAATACAAGCCCTAAGAGGCTTCAATTAAGATATTTTGTTTAAGCATTTTAGTGTATGAAATACGTACATTCTGCTACTATTGCCCGAATTCTGTTGGTTTTTCACTGTTTTCTCGTTTCAGTAAAAATTAAAACCTGAACTTGAAAATACCGGCCACCAAATTTACAGCGCATGTAGTCTTTTTTTTTTTTTTTGGCTACGTCCAAATTACTTGGTACGGCTTGCAATTATTGAATGAGACTTTAGAAATGGCTGAAGCCACGTCCCATAGACACGTTTGTTACTGACAGTAGCAAAGTAATTAGCTTGTATTGTTTTCAAATAAATCACACTAAGATATATATTAAAGAAATATAGAATAAAGGAATAAAGTACCATCTTCCAATGGGGGCGCTGTTCAAACCGGACGATCATGCACACTAACGGACAATGGATGGCGCTTTTCAAGGCGGCACAATTGCCGTCGTTAGCGAGAAATTCCAAAAAGGGCACTCGCAAAAGGCCGGTGGTAAAAAAGGCACTTTGTTTCTTTTTTTTCAAAGGGAACTTGTTTGAAAATAAGGACACTCGTTGACAAAAAAACGCACTGTTAACAAGGTTTTTTTTTGGGGGGGGGGGGGTAAACGCTGGTGTAAAAAGGGCACTTGAATGGGAAATGGCAGTATTGGGGGTGTATATATATACCCCCTTACCCCCCCCCCCCCCCCACCGCCCCGCTGGCTACGCCTCTGCCCAGAAGTTACTTCATACACTTTACTTTATCCACGTCCACTCGGGGGGGGGGGGTGTTTCCTTTGTTGGATGGGAGGGTCTCGGAACCGTAACTGGGTTTTCTACTAAAAAGTAGCGGAGATAGTGGCTTTAACTCATGTCATCTTGAGCACGGTGGTTATTGTCACCGAATACATTCCAAAATCTATTTCATATTTTATGTTCAATAGTATAGTCTTTTCAGTCATTGACACTGGCGGACCGCGCCATGGTGTCCGACAATTAGTTCAGCCACCACGTGACCGATACATTATCATGTCTGGAAAAAGAAACAACGTTCACTCTATTTTTTTCAGTATAAAATTGGAGAATTACATGTAATGTACAACGCGTGTCAGAAGTCTGCATGACAGAATACGGACTGCTGCCATTTCTGCACCGCAAGAAACATGGCTCGGTAAAGATACCCATGGGACCCGGCCCCATCGACCCGGCTCAGCCTGACAGTTCACCCCTGGTGGCGCGCTTCCCGAACCTTGAATAGGAAAATTAACGTGCAAAAATTCTAAAATTTTATTTGTAATTATTTTTGGTACATTGATTTCTTCGAAAAATCACCGTCGAAACTGAAACTGAAATATCGTGCCAAAACTTGACCTCTCACTTCCGTAAATCTAAAATACATGTGGAGTAGTGGAACGTGATGTGTTATTATGAAATAATTTTGTGGCGGTCATTGGGTAAAAAACTGAAACTTAAATAGGAGAATAAAATGCCTTTTTTTGTTTAGGACATGCATTTTTAAAAATAAACTTGAAGGACTAAGTATTATTTACAAACCAATCTAAATTGACCGTTGATAAGAACTGTATTCAAGCAAGCCCGACAAAATCTAGAACCCATCGGCTGTAGGTAGGTATCATTTTAGTTCTCACGTAAGTACGCGATGTGAAAAACAAACTTGATCGAACAAGGAATCTACGTACGAAAAGGGAAGGATGTGAAAGGATCGAAAGTAAAATTCGCTTTTAATAAAACTTTTACCCATCTCCAACTGATTTCTCATCATTTTTTCCTGTAGAATGCCAAAATACAATTCCAACATGAATGCTTCTTGGGGTGACTACGGTTAGAAATCATTCTGTCAAAATTATAGCAAGAGAAAGGGTAGTCTGAGCATAGAGCAAGCAACATGCTCTGTGGTCTGAGTATCACCCGTTGTCCACGGAGCCGTATATATATCCGGTCCTTGCTTCGCAAGGGTCGATAGATCTTTATCATGCTGCCACCATTTCAGTCATGTTCCATGTATCCAATAACAGTACTGAATGATAATGTTTTTTCCGTGTAAAAAGGAACAAGACCATTTTTCCTTCCAGCCTGGCTTTGGTTATATTGATTTGAATTGGGAAAAAATCAAATGGCTGCAACATGATAATGGTCTTTTTTATTACACAGAGAAAGGCCAACCCAGTGTAAAATGCCCACAGACAGGTCACGCGAGGGGTCCGGAGGGTAAAAGACGAAATGACTGGCTTGCCTTATCTCGATAACCTGAAAATATTGGAATTTTCTTTCCTTTTGAGAGAAATTTAACGCTCCTCGTGTTTGTCCTATCCACTGTATAATACTTTCCCTAATTGTGTTTCATGTTTCAATTAAATCCAATTCTTGCAGTGCATTGCTTCCAACTTTAATCGACTTCGTATTGTACCACAGCTTGCTTGCTAACGATTACGGTTCATTATAGCCGCAGAATCCTCGTTCCGGAGACCTCCAGTTCAGTCTCTTTGTTGTTTCATTATGTAAATGCAGGCCGTACCACTGGGTGTCAATATTCAGTCTTATAGATGACATGGACGGCTGTGCACTGAGTGACAGCGATTTCAGTAGAACAAAGCGTGGGCATTGTGGGCAATGCAGCCCTGGCTAAAGGACTAATCAATGTATTATGTAATCACTCCCGGGCTTTCTCTTCGACTTTAATTAAAAAGTGAGAACGGAAGCGCTAGCAATTTGAGCCCCTGTGTATCCTGCTTCCAATGCCACTGGCACGGTACAGTCAATTATAGATGTTAGCGCTTCGTCACCACAATAAACTTTGTGTTTTTATTATTAACCCAGCTGCCACAATGTACGGCATTAAGTTGGGCGCGGAATTATGAAGTTTTTTTAATAGTGAACTAAATATATAGTTATTTCTTCTCTGCAAATGCTTTTTCGGGATAAAAGAGGGGAGGGGTGGTATCAGTCTTGGTGTTTTTCCTAGCTGCACTGTAGCTTTTACAAAGATATTCCAGTAAATGCTGTCGAAATGAGTTGATGGACAATGATAATTGATGCTACACTTAAATCCACGGCAACAAAATGATAATTTGCCTTCCCGTTTAAAAAGGCCAAACATTTCGTTCTGGAAAAAGCAGTGTATTTTTATAGTTTTATTTTTAAAATCAAACCGAATGCTTTAACGTGTCGTGGTAATTTTGTAATCATTTTTGTAATCGATTTCGTTGCACTGTCTGTAACACCATGAGAGGAATATAGTTACTCAATTTCTGTTTGGCCAAGGAATGTTGATATAATATCCGTCATTGTGGTGGATTGTGAAGCGCCCACATAGTACGTAATGCACATCATGTAATGACTTGGGGCCTAGAGATCAATAGTCACGTATGAATACATTACAGGTGGCTCAATCACTGTGACACCTCACAGCAGTCTGTGGTTTGCTCTCATTAGCGCAGTTCGCCTGCTGGAAAATGAAAGGCCTTCAGAAGATAATCAACCAGCGTTAATTTTTAGATTTGTCGCTGTCTGGAGGCAAGTTGCTTATTGTTCAGTGACGGAGCAAATTAACAGATGCATATTGCATGTCGATATTAGACCGAATGCATTAGTGAGAGTGACATGCCAGATTAAGGATAACCATTCTAAAGTTTTAGACTTTACAAGAAATACTGGCGTCAGAAAGTAATATTTATAAGATTTGTTTCAATATTGATATTGAGATTTTCCAACTGAAGTAAGAAAAAAGCAGCGTGGTGGTTTCGAAGGGCCTTCTCCACCTTGTCGTGGAAGAGGGGACAAAATGTTGACGCCTTTACGTGCATATTGCACGTTTTTTTTTTAAAGTTCTATCACAAACAACACGCCGCAATAAATATAAAGGAAAGGCAGATTTATACACGCATGTTCGTGCGTAAGACCATATCTAGCTCGAAAAAAATGCTTACGAGATAAATCACTTTCAACACAAATCTGGTATTCGGCAAAATTTATAGTGTCTATATAAGCAACAAGTGAAACATAAACGCTTTAATTTCACTCAGGTGTTGCAAAGCAAGGTATTTTCTCGGTGGTACAATGTATACTTAAACTCCTCTTTGCTTTGCTACTTCGATATCCCAAGAAAATAAGTCCGCGTACTGAGTAGCCCAAGCGTAGGAACTACCGAGTACAAGAAGTAAATATTGATATTTTACTTCTTTGAGTAGAATACAGACCAATGATATGACCATCATGCACGTTACTTCCATCAACAGTTTTTAATGCTAAACGAATAAACACATAGGCTACTATAGACATTTGGATAAGTTGTGAATATAATCTTTACCTGGTTACTGACTTAAAAGAGATGTTTTAAATATAAATGCAAGGATTCAATCAACCACGCTTTTCATGTTTACATATCAAAGGGAAACATATAATGACGACTTGAATGCCATCATTAGCAAAAAGTAGGAGCGTGGGGTTTGACTATCTACACGTTTACAATAACCAGTGCATGCACCAAATCAACATTCATGCACTATCAGTCTTTGTCCTACCCGTACCCGTTTTTACAAGTGTGATATCGGGAAATTCATGGTAGTTGTCAGTTATCCAATAATTTATTATAACATTATTACTTCACTTCAAGTGTTTTGCACATTAATTATCACACGTTCGCTCATTAATCATCAGAATTGTTCAAGGCTTGGCTTGTTTACCTGTTAATGTTCTAGTGGACTACAAAACTTTAGATATTAACAAATACAACAAAGACCGTCTGTTAAATTCCCACTTTTCCATTATTTCCAGATGTGCTTTTTTTCATAAATTGAAATGAAATCGCGTGTCCCCAATAACGTGTCAATAATTGCACGGGGCTCATGTTAAAGGCATAGGGCCTCACACATTGGGCCTCTCACAATGCTTTAATACCACATTTGTGTTTCATCTACATGTATTTGCTTGTATGAATGATCTTTTTTTTTCATAACGTGGCAACACATTGTGGTCTTTTAATTATGTACATCTATATTTAAAAATAACCTTTCGTTGTGTTATAATTGATCTCTAAGCTACATTTCTATTCTATGTACTGCGCATAAACGTACTGTGATGGATTCCCAACTCGTAATTATTATATATTTTGTAATATTTCGTCATGCTGTCTTCTCATAGCAACTATAATCAGAAAACTTATATCACCTCAGTGCAGTCAAAATAGTTATGTGACGTCCAAGGATCTTCAGTGAGGTAAGTTTTAATTTGGCGGTTTTTTACTCGTTTTAGGCAAGCCATGCTTTCGTGTCAGTAGCACGGGCACTGCATTCCTCGTGACAATAAGGGCCTACTACAACCTCCTACAGACTTAAAACCGCCTACAACCTTTATGCGGCCCTGTTATATGTTACTTTTTAGCAATAATCATTCACGTGTAGCTTCATTGTATCACAAGCCTATGCAAGTGAAAGCACAATCATTGGAAGAAAGCTTCGCAATAAAAAGTTTGAGATGAGGCTAATACATGTATACTCCTAATAGCTAAAAATGGCGATAGACCACAATATAATTTTGTTAAGTAAAAATTGTATTATATTTTATATTTTTTTCACCTCATAATTTTGAGTAATCTTAGACCCTCGTTGTTAAAGTGAATACGAGTTACATAATGTATATCTCATACCATAGAGCAAGGAAGTCATACAGAGAATAAGCGGTAAGTTAACATCCATCGTTAACTTTCATATGATACAATGACAATGGCATAATGCCATTTTTTGTGCCATGACGTAATATTCCTATTAAAAATGGGGCAAAGACATAATTTATTGTCACTTTACATGCAGTTAAACTGTTTCAGAAATACATTTTTGATATCTAAGTACTGTACTAAGTTTTTAGGTTTTTATTTAAAAAAAAAAACAAAAGCAGAATTTTCCCAAAGTCAAATCACCGCTGCAACTCCCTAAAGCTAAGACCAATGACAAACTGCCTACAGCAAGCTATCGCCGGTGTATGGGTGGGATGCTATCATGTGACTTTTCAGAGCATTTTTCTGGTAGAAGTCTTTGCCACAATACTGACAAGCATAAGGCTTCTTATCTGCATGGGTCCGTCTATGGGTGTTCAATGTACTCGCTAAGGTAAATCCTTTACTGCATACCTCACAGTGGTAAGGCCGCTCACCTAATAGTGAAAAGGGGAAAGGACATATATTTCCAATTTAATTTTTGCATTCAGGGCGACACAAAGATACACGTACATGCACCACAATACTGCGTTGGGCATGATTTCAAATACTTGTTTTTTATAAGATATCTATTTCTGTGTTACATCCACTCCATGCTGAATTCGTCTTGCTCATTGTGAACGGATTACTACATTGATCGATGATAGCTAAACGTCAAGTATGACTAAACGATTAAACATTCAGACTGACACAGAGGCTAAATGGCATTCGATAGATGGTCGTTCTCACCTGTATGTCCGTAGATATGTGCCTGTAGATTACCTTTCTGGTTGAAACCTTTACCACAGTATGCGCAGGTGTACATTTTGACGTCTGAATGCGTGCGCAAGTGATAAGTTAGGTGAGTCAGCTGTTTAAATCCACGTCCGCATTTCTTGCATTTATGCGGCTTCTCACCTATCGGTATAATAAAATATAAATATACACATTGTATATTAGTTACTGTTTAGGTTCACTGTATTTGAATTTCATTTGACCTGTAAAAAAATCAGACACAATAATAGTTGTTACATATCGACTGAGAAATAAAACTTCCCGAATAAACGGTGCTTTTTTTAAATTCTCGTTAAAACAGGAAATTGAAAGAAGATGGAAAAGAGACAACTTACCCGTATGCGTGTAGGAGTGGATCTTCATGTCTATTTTTTGATGAAATCCTTTGCCGCAATACTGGCAAGTGAATGGTTTATAGTTTGTGTGAGTCCTCATATGAGTGTGAAGGTTGGATGCACGATTGAATGCCTGCAAGCAAAAGAGGATACAAAGATTCAGTATGCATGCGCTAATATTCTTCAAAGTTGGTATATATACGTGCTTACTACACATCTTCAGTGAACCGCGATCATCGCTACAAGACATCAATAAACTGTAGGCCTACAGACGCAGAAACCGCAATTTAGATATCCTCAGGACGACATCCGAGGTAGGCACATGGAAACAAAATAATTTACTGGAAAACATCTTCAACTTTCAGGTCTCTTAGTTTATAAGTTATTATTGACCATGCATTATTCATGTCCTGCTTACTATTAATATTGATTTATTTTGTAATAAAATGTCAATTACAAGGTTGACTTACTTTGCCGCATTGTTGACACACGTAGGGCTTGACTGTTGTGTGTGTCAGTCGATGACGCGTTAAGTTGCCTGGTTGTCTGAAAGCTCGTCCACACAATTCACATGTAAACGGCTTGTCTCCAGTATGAATGCGCTGAGAAATATAAAATAAAAAGTCTTATGAATTTGAGTTTTAAAAATACTCTCTATGCAGCGGCGTATTCTGCGGGGGGGACTTGCCCCTCGCTATGGCGACATTTGCCTTTTAAAGGAAACTAAAGCGGCTGCATCTCACATCCGCCCCCACTTTTTTACCATTTTTACAAAAAAAAAGTGAGCTGAGGCCAATTTTTTTTTAAGAGAATGCGCCAATTTTGCGAACCCCAGCCCCCCCCCCCCGACCCAAAACCTGGATTTGGTATCAATGGGCTGAAACGATCAATTTAGCTTTGGATGACCAGAAATGAACAATGTTACTACGTGATAACAATCTCCTATTGACAAACTATTGTTTGTCGGGAGACTATTCCAACAAGGCCTTCATTCAATTTAAGCGAGGATGATTTCTGTAATGTCCCTTCTTGTAACTTAGAAGTTACTGGCATTCACTCTTTAATTCACTTTATTCTTTAAGTATCAATTTCTTTGTCTGAGTATAAATGCGCAGATGATTTTTAATACAAAGCCGTTTCCTCTATCAATGATATCCGATTGTCATGTTGACAGCATTGCTGAATGTTGGCATCGTGATGGGCGTTACCCGCTGCCACATATGGCGCGCACAGGTTTATGGCGCGGAGCCCCTTCAACAAAGAGATTGACGAACCGTCATAACAGGGCAGATAGTTTAGTTTGTAACGCCGAGAGGTGTCGCTGAGATCGCAAGTTTCAATTTCTAATTAGGGGCCTATATAAAAACATATTATATATGAGACTCCCTGATATAAGCCACCCCATCAGCCACTCCAGCTGGATCCCCCAAGACTTGATTCCGGCTCTTGGCTTTTGTAGGGTCCTTGCTTTGAGCTGTGATGTGCATTGAGGCGCTGTTAATGTGTGTGCAATTGGGTTCTCTTTTGTGTCGAGATCCTTTTACTAGGCCACTCCATCTCTTCTTAATTCCCGCACGGCAAATCCGTGCAATTTCTCGGCTGCAATTGTAATTAAGCTGTCAACAAGACAGTCGTGATGGTGGTGAAAAGCGGAAGAAACAATAGGGCTGGTGAATGCTATAAGATATTGATCGTTAGCTAGCTGCTGTCGCCCTGTCCATTAAGGAATATCCTTGTGAGAAGCCTGCCTCGCCTCTCCGCACGACGGCTGTTTCCATCCATTCTAATTGAAATCTGGACAAAAGGACAATCAAATGTCTTGGCGTTTTAAGCCTCTCTCAACGGAGTCTTTGAATCATTGGCGTAAAGGATAAATAGCCCATGCTGGGTATGTGTGTGATTTTTTCTTCTCTTTTTGGAAAGGTTTGCTTCCAACACCACAGTGGTCTTAATGGGACGGGTCCTTTGCAACCTCGTCCTCAGTGCTTACTTTATTTCCAACCTCGTTTCCAATAGTAAGTCCTGGATAGGAACCTTTCTTCTGTATCCTGATTTGATACCGAATCGGCTGGTAATGGATTTATATTGCGTAGGCCCTACTTGCTGATGTTATTTCCAACGTGCATTACGTGTTTTTCACGATCATTGTAATTATAACGTCCACTCCACACTTTCTCAAAAATTCTCCTTTCTTTTCCAATGTGCTCATATTAATATGAAGTGTGATACTGCATAATTTGATTGACGGTTAATGAAAAAGAAACCCCTACTTGTATCTGGTGCCGATGACATTAAACTAAAAGTGAAATAGAATGGTGAATGTTTGAAATCGCCCTCTGAAAGCGAAAAAGAAGTCTTGTAAACGAATCTGAATGGACATAAACAAAAGGTGCTGCTCAATCACTTAATTGATTGAACTGAAATGGAATCGAATGCTCTGATAGCAATAATGAAACGTGTGTTCAGAGCGATTCTCAAATTCAGACAAAAATGAATGACTGATTTTCAGAAGTGAATGGATTTTTGGGAAATTAGCTGGGAAAACTCATCTTTAAACTCATTGCTCTTGTAGTAGATTGCGCAGTAAGTACGCGTAAATTGCTTTATCATTATCGACAGGGATTTTTTTGTGAAATGATACATGCACTGTCTTTAGCAAAAGTGCACAACCAACAAAGATTGCATGATACCGGGACTTGTATACAGAGATTGTCGTGGCTCGCCCGTAATCACCGTCCCTCTTAGCAAACTGGTTTAGCTCCTGGAGAAAGCTGATAAATTTCTCCTTCGTTTCTGTCGAAATGTACGATATGCTACATATACATACAAAAACTCCGCCCGTAGACCCGACACTGTTGCGTTTTGTATATATAATATATACAAAACGCAACAGTGTCGGGTCTACGGGCGGAGTTTTTGTATGTGTGCTCTTGTTGTCACCACGTTGTGGGACGCTTTCTTTGTTTAGGGAAATTAGGAAGATACAACATTTGCAAACATCAAAAAAAGAAATGATCAAATTGTCATGAAATTCTTTACTGGACTGTTAGGGAATGACAGTCCAAAGCATCCTGTAAAATCGTAGCTCCTAGTGTGTTGACATGTTCAAGTAAAGCGGTAAGTTGTATCAATTTTCAGCTGGTCGGCCGACCAGCGTTGGAGAAAACAGGCTATTTTGAAAAACTGCTCCTAATATTTCATATTTAGTTATTCCGCATTTTCTTTGCAATTGATTACACACCTGTGAAGGGGTACAAGCCAGCTATAGACTGGTTCTCTGAACTTATAATTCCCAACATCTATAAATTGCTCCGTTTTATCTTAAGTGGGGTCAGGGAACCAGACTACAAGAACATGATTGGTTTTCTTGGTTTTTCCAGCGTCTACGAACCCAAAACGTGAAACAAGTCAGTGTAACAATATTTGCTATAACTTACTATTCCTCCAAATCCGTTTATTTCCGAAAATTACAGCAAAAGCAAAATGTTGTTTACATTCCCTTTAAGAACTGACTCAGGACTTTATGTTGTCCCCACATCGTCTTTGGTATTGCCCATGTGGAACAACTTTGTGGCAATCCAATGGGTCTTTGGTGACTTGTATCTACCGTCTAACACATCAAACGATACCGTAAAGTACAGGAAAGCATGAATAAGGTCATTCCTTGTCTAGTTTCTGCGCGATATCGGACTTTGGGGGCTGATAAGAAAGAGCAAGGTAAGCAGTCACAAACAAGCCGTGCAAGTGAATCGTTCTTTGTGGCCAAACCTATACGAGGAAACAAAACGATGGACCTTAAGCGGTTGGCTCGAAAGAAGCAAAGTTTTGGCTATCTTTATAACCTTTTTGTATAATTTCTAGCCAGGAGGTAAATCCAAATGGAACTGTCTAAAAAAATTAAAAAACACCTTCGGTGCATTTCACATATCACTCTCTGCGTTTTCAAATGCCGCTATAGGACACAGCATAACGTGAGGGTTTTGAAACAAACGCCTGTTCAGATTTCATTGAAATCTTTAAAATTCGTCTTTTTCGTGAACTACCTTTTACCTTGTCGATGGTCATATTGCATGCCAAAGTTGGTGTGTTTTATTATTGAGTTCAGGATGGATGGACAGGCATGAAGGTTGTTTCTTCTCCTAGGGCCTATATATAACTAGCGCGTGTGGTTTTACGAAATTGAACACTGTCGAAGTGATTTCATCTTAAATTGTGATTTATCAGCTTCCCACTACTATAATACCTTACTGGCATCTCTGCAGTCATAACCAAGCACCACTGATTTAAAATCAAGGGCTAAAAAACCGTCGCTGTGAATTATGTTTTAAGTGGGTAGGTGCACATATTGAATGTGTTGGTTCATAAAATGGAAAACCGTAATCAGTGATGTAATAAATCATTAAGATTTATTATTTATTCATTGAAATAACTACCCCATGCCAAATTGAAATCACAACATATATATTTAGCGTGACCCAAAGTTGGGCTAGGCCCAACAAGCTAAGTTTTAAAGAATATCATGACACGGGTAGCTAAGTTTAACTTAAAAACAAAAACATACATGATTAGATTTTAAGATTTCTTTATTCGTTGAAGAACATTATGATGAACCATTTGTATACCCTACCATTTCCAACATACATGTACCTGCCTTTTAAATGGACATTCAAATAAAATAAATAAATAATTTGCGAGGCTAATCATATACTCGCAGCTGAGAAGCTGAATTGCGAAGGACGCAGCTACAGCGTGGTCGAGCCGCTGGCAGCCAGCCACATCGACCCATATATGACCACGGAGCACAGCCAGACATCGAAAGTGTTTGATCTTTCCGGAGGGAGGAAAACCGGAGGGCCCGGAGAAAAACACTCATGGCACAGGAGAGAATCAACGCACAATTTTACTCACAAATGGTCCGCAGCCGGGAATCGAACCAGTGCCACAGTGGTGTGAGGCGAGCGCCTTACGCACTAGCCACCCATGCCACCCGAAATTCCGCAGCGACAACGCATTTGTTTTGGGACGGAATCACCCCGATTCAGCCAACTCGGAAAAAGAAATCACTCACTTACGAGAATAAAGCGCCTGAAGGAAAAGGTCACGCCCCGAGCTTAATTCCGGACCCCTCGCGTGACCTGCCTACGGGCATTTTACACTGGGTTGCCCTTTCTCTTGCTATAATTTTTGACAGAACGATTTCTAACCGTAATCACCCCAAGAAACATTCATGTTGGTATTGTATCCTTAGTATTCCTCCCAAAAAAAAATGAGAAATCACTTGGAGATGGGTAAAAACGAACTGTACTTGTATACGACATTTCTGTTCCTATAGGTCTCCTTGTTCGATCACGAAAATGTATAACGACGCGAAGATTGACCTACCTACAGCCGATGGGTTCTAGATTTAGTCAGGCAGGCTTGAAAGCAGTCTTTGTCAGCGGACACTTTAGATTCTTTTATCGATGCTAATGAGTCCTGTAAGTTTATTTAAAACAATTGTTAGTCTAATATTTAACTTTAGTTTTCACCCGATGACCGCCACAAAAATATACTTCATAAATTTTCATCTTTAGAAATTTTGCACGTTAATTTTCCTATTCAAGGGTTCCGGAAGCGCGCCACCATGGGTGAACTTTCAGGCTTATTTACAAATGTAGTTAGTTTTGATTCTCCGTAAAAAAAAAAAAAAAAACCTCTTGATTACAAACAAAGAGACGATCAACTGCAAACTGTACAAGCTATCGTCAGATACATGCATCAACAGTCCGTGCGATCCTGCAGAGACTTTGCTTCGAAGTTGGCCCATGTATACCCCTAATCATTATTATAGCGAGTCTAAGATGTGTGCGGCTACCCTCGTATATGCGTTTGAGACCATACATATTACAATGACTTGGATTAAAAGGATAAACCCTTGAGTAGAGCCGAAGATGATATCGATTTAAGAGGATGCTCCCAACATCTGTCTACCACAGCAAAGGTGAACGTAAATATACATGTATTGAGACTAATAATTAGAGCTTAGAACTCAGAGACGATGCCCATCCAGTGAGTTCATGTATTATTCATGACGACCGTCACGACAGATTGCGGCCAGACAGATGTGCTCCACGCTATCTCTCAGAGACAAAGGACAATGATCAGTCAGACAATTTGGTTGTATTATAACGGATGATTTAGGTGCAAGAAGTCAATTAAGAAAGTTCTACACAAGCTATTTAGTTTGTATGTGTAAAACTTTCGTTTAGAGCAGCACTTTCGACCGGAACGCGCGATTTCCGGATCTAAAATGCTTTAGGGCGGAACTATCATTACAAAAGTAGAACATAAACATTCACACAATTACACCTTGACCATTAATTTTTGGAGTAATTATCGCGCGGATGAATTTCAAGATACACAATTTTGGTTCTCAAAATTTGAGCCGTTGATTCAAGTCACACATGTGTTTGTTTTTGAACGAGTTCTTAAAATACATGATGTGGGGCCCGATTTCCAATATTGAAATGTTACTTGCTTGCAATGCATGATACACTGTGGCAGTCAGACGTTGACAGCTTTGGCTACAAGTCGATGGCTTTAGGCCCAACTACTGCTGGAAATACGTAGAGGCAAGGCAAGCTGCTCCGTCAGATGTACACAAACAGGGCTTTTTTCAAGATTTTCTCCGTACGTTTACGACATTATGTGGATTTCTTGTGACCCAGACATTTTAAGCATGGCAAATGAGCATTCGAAAGCTCTACATTTTGGACCTCTGGGCGAATTTATACTTCAGTCAGTTTGTGTTCCGGCATTATAAAAAGGCCGAATACGCGCATAACTCGCATCGGGAAACAAACCAACTCCCGGTAATATGCCTCATGCACACTGATTGTATGAGCTTAACCAAAACAAGTAAACATCTGATGATATCGTGGGCAACTTACCTTATGTGTTACCAATGTGTTGCTCCGACTAAACCCCTTGCCGCATATATCACATATATACTTCTTGTATTGGCTGGGCTTGTCCACCTTGGAGGGGGAACTTTTCCCACCAGAGACAGATGTAGTTTCTGTGCTGGAGTACCCTGTGTGCTGCTGTTCTGAACTGCAATTCACCGCTTGGTCGAGTTGCATACATCCGTCTGCTTCCTGATCTTGCGATTCGAGAAGATGACTGGATTCTCCGTCAGGACTCTTGCTGTCTCGGGAGTTAGGCGTGTTCTGGATGTACTCTAAGCCTAGAATCGGCTGGCGAGCAGAATGTTTCAGGACATGCCCTTGGTTCTTAGAGCGCCGTGATAAATGCGTGTGATTGAACACGAATCTGTCTGAGTTTGGCAGCTGGGGTGACATTTTCAATTGGTCCTCTTTAGAAGGGCTCAGATTTAGTGCCATTTGCTGCTCTGTTTGTATTTCTTGGATATTTTTGTCGTTGTTCGTGTCAGTTGGCAAGATATACTTGTCAAGATAGTAGCTCGGTGATGTATTGTAATAGTCCGGCATGGTGGGACTTTGGTTGGGGGAAAGAGGAATCATCATCTGCTCCTCTTTGGAGAATTGTGCTGTGTCCCGATCACTTCTCCCATGATTCCAGTCGGAATACTGATAAAACGAGGCATCTCGGAATGGAGACGTTCGTGTTGGTGATGTTCCTTCGATCATATACGAGTATAATGCTGATGCCGGATTATGTCCGAGTCTTTTCTGATACGATGCATAAGGATTGTAGAGACTGGCTGGACGTGACGAAGCTGAACTGACTTCAGTGACGGATGACTGTGGCAAATCTCTGTCTGTCGGGGGTCGAATTTGCAGATCAAGAGGCTCCTCTACGCTGATGTTGGTATTGAGGATGTGATTGTTTAGGCTTGCTTGAGAAGCACGCATTGAAGGTTCAACATACTCAAATGCAGAATTAGATGAAGCAAGAAGAATGGGTTTTGCTTGAGACAAGTCTATAGGTTCGGCAAATTCTCTGATATTGCTTTGGTGTGGATATTGTGGTAGATTGCTTGATGTAGAAGTCGTTGTTTCGTCATGCGAAGTGAAATAGTGTTTCTTCCAGACGTTAGTTTTCTGATCCGTTATATCAGACTCATCTTTCCGGCCATCAGGCATGTCTCGGCAATATCGACGAGGATCATTGTGGTAAATTGACTTTGACCCACTTGTCTCAACATGTTCTGTATAGGAAGAAGAATCCTTTTTTAATGATTCAACACAGCTTTTGGGCAATGAAAAGATCAATACATTCTTTGTAGAATTCTCTCTCCATAAGGAGATGATCTCACAAAGCACACAATGAAATGAATTTGGAGATGACCTACAAATCACCTTAGAAACTGTAGTCAGAAAAAAATGTAACCCATGAACCGCATAACGAGGAAAAACTTACAAGATTTAAGCTGAAGGATAAATAATATAAAAGGAAGGCAAATGAATCCGGGGGGAAAACGGCAACTTATTTATAAAAGGGGGAAAGTAAAACTCCACTTTCTGCATAACATCAAGTAAGGACCAAAAAAGAGGGAACTATGTTATCGGAATACAGTCAGAATTCGTTTTACTTAACTTGTAAAAAAATCATCTAGATGCACCTTGATAATTGTGTAGGCCTACCATGATATGCCTAATAATTATTGTAGATATTTATAACCAAGCTCTGAAGTACCAAAATGTTTTCAAGACATTCAACAAACTCCATTGGTCACAAAAGTTCATTTAGATATTTACATTTCTAATTGTGAATTGCAAAGTAAAATGAAGCATTATCCCCCCCCAAAAAAAAAAATATATATATCGCATTTTGGCATGTTATGTCGAACGGATATTGATTCCGTGAAGTTATTGATGTAACGAAATGTATTTTGGTTATCGTGTTATACCTGTATCATAATCCGGCTCAGATTTGTACAAAGAGGTTCCTCTTGTCTTTTTGACGAGAAAAGCACGAGGCATGATGGCTGGGGGCAACTGATGATACTCGACGAACACTCCAGGCTGGGCTACTGCCGGCAAATCATAGGAAATACGTTGATAGAATTATCAAAACAGCATTATTGCGTCGGTTATGTTACTTTAAACATCTATATGTATGTCGAACTGTCCCGTGTATTAGCAAAGTAACAAACAAGTACGTATATTATTGGCGAACATATTGTGTAAAATAATTGCCACGCCTACTTTACATGAATGCATCCGTCCGCTCATGCAGTTAATGTATACTCACCAGTAACTTTTGAGGTTTTAGATCATCCAGTAGGTGTATTTGTGGGGTTTCCCATTGAACAAAAAACACCAAAAAGTCACTTTCTGCATCATCAGTCAACCGAAAACTGTGTAGAATATCAATGCGTCTCTCGGTTTAAAGGTGGATTATATACTAGCTCCTCATGCACTTCGCAAGCATCTTCACTCTTGATTAATGATTATAGTACTAGGCCTATACACCTCCAGAAGGTGCTTTATGAAAGATGGTACAAAGCCCTTTTTAACTGAAATGGGACATGCGGTGAACAGCTTCAGCCCTTAACAATACACCGTGGAGGCTTCTTTCCAACTCACTGCTTCTGAAGTGATTAGTTGGCTTCTTAGTCGCTGTGATTGAAATAACAAGCAAAGGATAAACCCATTTGTGTGGTACTACGTTGATAGCAAAAAACCCAAGACACAACGGGAGCTTGCCTGGCTGTCTTTCCTAGTTTCATTGATAATGTCGAAGTTTTTTTAGTGATGTTCTGACATGTTATAGCCCACACCGCGACCTGATGCTGCTGACCAATACACATATCACAAAGGAACTGGTCATTGGAAGCAAATCTTCCTCAGAAGGGATGACAAACAAGCTGCAATCACTTTTGTTAACTCCTGCATGCATGTCGGTGCACCTATGTCCTGTGTCACCCATTTAAGGACCGGCAATTCGTCAGTGTCAGATAGTACGAGGTTTCAGTGTTTTCCCATATATGTTTTCAATAGGCTCTGATAGTTATAATGGAACAAAATACAAGAAGGGGATTCTTGTATTTTGTTCCATTATAACTATCAGAGCCTATTGAAAATCCACAGTGATCTTCTATGAAACTTACCCAAATGTGATGTACTAGTTTTGGCCCGTGATATTCGGTTTAAACTCTCCCGTGTGCGTTGTTGCTTGCGATAGAAGCAATGGTTCTCCCCTCCAGCCTCTCACTGTGGTATGCAACTCCTGTGCCAGATCTTTTGTTCTTTTCTCATTCGTTAAGCTGAGCAGTGACATGACGTCTCGATGGTTACCTCACCCATATGCATAAATTAATGTATCAAATGGAGGCCTAGGCCTAGCCCACGTGTGGATGTTTACCATTCTAGAACCAATCATCTCACTCTATTGAAATAAAGCACATTACGTAATGTCATCTCGATCGGTCACTGATGTTTCTATTGATTGCCGGGCGGGGCTCGTCTGAAACAATATGTCTGAAACCACGGCTAACAGTACGATTTCACAATCATTCGCTTATCGACTTTCAATATTTCCCTCTCTTAGTGATACCTTTCGACAAGATTGTCAAAAAATCCGATAGAATGTAGCTATTGACCACTTCTAAGTATCGGACTTGTTCCTCATGTTTAATTTTGAATTCATCGCTGTTTTGAAAATATCGTCTCCGAAAGAACAGACTGCAATAATCGTTTCAAAGCTATTTTTGACTCACCTTGTAGTTTTATGGTCATTGTAAGTGAGAGTGTATGTAGCAAGTACGAGAGCAAGCCATAAGCCGCATTTAAAAAAAAAAGAAGATAAAATTGGATCCGAGATTCCATCGCTTTTGCAATGGAGAGCATGAATCATTTTTAAAATGGCGATGGACATCCGGGACTGCTTTTTAGAGGTAGCCAACATAGGAGGGGGAAAAAGTAACCCAAATGTCATTGGGTAAAACCACACAAATAGAACGGAAAGTGAAACAGGGTAAACCAACAAGCATGACGGCAAGTTTTATATTTATTTTAATGTACAGGGGGAGTAAAAAAAACCGGAACCCAAACCCCCAAAATTATATTTCATATTTTTAAAAAGTATGTATCACCACAAAAAAAAACCCAAAACAGTGACTGGAAACCAACTTCATAAGCTACTTTTAGATGAAAAAAAAGTGTTGCTCGATCCGTTCAAAGAATATTACCATTATCGATTTCTATCTGAACCTTTGTAATTTTACCTTAATTTGTAATCAGGGGTATGGATGAGCACATCATTTGATGACAGTTTTTATACTTTTGTTCATTCCGTGACAGCCCCTGCTAACATTTTAGATTGTACTTATGAACTGTCTAAAGATTTAAAATAAATAAATAAAATAAAATTTCAACACAGTGACCCTTAACCTCTTTCGTCCAAAAAAATGCGATTTCAAGAATCGTTATCACAAAATTGTCTTCAAACATCACCAGCGATAAAACCTCAGCTTAAAAGTTTAAAATATTGGACAAAGTACTTTTGAAGGCCCATCTTTTTAAAAAACAAAGTGGATTTTATAAATCATATTGTTTGCCTAACCATGGTTGTTAATAATGATATTGCGTATACAGTTGTTGACAGTTGTTGAAACAAGTTGTTCCAAATAGTAAGAATACACATAGCAATAAATTGTTGTTGTTTTGGGGGAGGGACGAAACAGGTTTTAGGGTCATTGCGTTTAAATGGTGGTATTCTTTGAACGGATTGACCAATTTCAGCAATTGTTAACAATGTTAACAGCGCCTTCTCTTCAGTCTCTTTCTGATTGGTTATCAAAGGAGCCCGCGATAGGTTGAACACATCGTGCATGGACCCATTTCACCACCATCATTATCAGTTCCTTTGAAGTTTGAAATAACTTTTTTGTACCTGAAAATGTTTCATTTACTTAGGTTCGTAGACAGATGTATGTATCTCCCCTCTCCCCCTTTCAATGTTGCTGTTGTGGCACCGCCGGTCGAAATTGGCAACATTGAATCGGAGTGAGGGGGGAACCGGGGGGAATATGCATCCTTTATGGCACGCTTATAATTAGGAATCGGATACACTTCTGATGTTCAACATGCAACAACTTTATTCTCAAATAGCGACGACTAAAATAAACAGGCTTGTTACTTTGTCAACTTTCAAAATCTAGGATATGAACGCCCAGTCATTAAGCTTTCTTTTAGCACAAGAAGCATTCAGATCACTCATGTACTTTTCAAGTTACGAAATTTTGAACACAGCACCGTTTTAAAGTTCTGTCCGCGGATCACAAAAAAGTAAGTGTTTTTCAGCAAAACGAAACCAGTTCTTATGAGGATGCATGTGAATTGTTTTCGTTTTGCTGAAAAACACATTCCTGCAGTCCACAGATCACCACAAAGTTTTCTTTCAGCAAAACGAAAACAATTCTCATGGGGATGGATGTGAATTGTTTTCGTGTAACTGAAAGTGCACGTATATGGTCTATCGAGCAGATAGAGATTGGGCAAGATAGAGAGAAATAAGTGGAAGCAGATGTGGAAGAGGAGGAGGGGAATAGTTATACTACATCAGAATAGAAGCAGATGAGAAAGAGGAGGAGGGGGAATAGTTATACTACATCAGAATAGAAGCAGATGGGGAACAGGAGGAGGGGAATAGTTATACTACATCAGAATAGAAGCAGATGAGGAAGAGGAGGAGGGGGAATAGTTGTACTACATCAGAATAGAAGCAGATGGGGAACAGGAGGAGGGGAATAGTTATACTACATCAGAATAGAAGCAGATGAGGAAGAGGAGGAGGGAGAATAGTTGTACTACATCAGAATAGAAGCAGATGTGGAAGAGGAGAAGGGGAATAGTTATACTACATCAGAATAGAAGCAGATGAGGAAGAGGAGGAGGGAGAATAGTTGTACTACATCAGAATAGAGGCAGATGTGGAAGAGGAGGAGGGGAATAGTTATACTGCATCAGAATAGAAGCAGATGAGGAAGAGGAGGGGGGAATAGTTGTACTACATCAGAATAGAAGCAGATGAGGAAGAGGAGGAGGGGGAATAGTTATACTACATCAGAATAGAAGCAGATGAGGAAGAGGAGGAGGAGAAATAGTTATACTACATCAGAATAGAAGCAGATAGGGAGGGGGAGGGGGAGGAGGGGGAATAGTTAATAATAATAAAAATAATAATAACTAGATTTATATAGCGCCAAATTACCAAAGGATGCAAGGCGCTAGAAGGGAACAAATTATGAAAGAATGACGAAATTCAGCTACTGTTTGGGGAAGAGGTGGGTCTTGAGTCCTTTCTTGAAGGATAGAACAGAATCAGTGTTTCTGATGGAGACAAGCAGAGCATTCCATAAACGGGAGGCAGCAATGGAAAATGCCCTGTCACCGGACTTTTTGCGAGACTTGTCAACCACAAGGGATATGGGAGTATGAACATTCATGGATTGTAAGGAGAGAGGATAGGTAGTCGGGAGCAAGGTGATTTAGAGAATTGTAGGCATGGACGAGTGTGCGGAATTCAATGCATTGAGCGACTGGGAGCCACTGAGGTTGTCTGAGAAGTGGTGAGGTGTGGGAGTGTTTTGGCATCTGAAAGATTAGCCTAGCACATCTGTTTTGGAGTCTTTGGAGGCGAGATAGGCCTTTCGTGGATACACCATTCAACAAACAGCACCCGTATTGTCAAGCTTGGACAGAATCAGAGCACGGACTGCACTGTGGCAGGCATTGAAATCGAGAAATCTTCTGATACGACTGAAGTTACGGATGTGCTAGTTTAGAGAACGACATAGTTGTGTGATGTGGTCAGACATTGTCAGAGTTGAAGACGACACCCTAGTTGCTGACGGAGGCAGAAGGGCGAATCTCAAGGTCATCGATATTGAAAGTGAGATGTTGGAGACGTTTGAAGTGATTAGAAGAGGAGGAGGGGGATAGTTATACTACATCAGAATAGAAGCAGATGTGGAAGAGGAGGAAAGTAGTAATGAATAGTGGAATAAAATAAAATTAGACGTGAAATATCAAAATGACCTTTTGTGTCTTTTCTTATACTTCTTTGCAAAACGCTGCCGGTTAAGATCCGAAGAAAGACGGGTTCCGCTAGTGTTAACAAATGATTTTTAATAAAAACAATTTTTAAAATAGTGTCTTTGACGTGCTGCTAGTTTATGACGTCATCATGCCATTCCTTGTAATTGGAATCCTCTATTAACATTTACTAAATGTAAAATTGTTGCAAAATGCTTTTGCATTCAAGTTATATATGCATTTCTCAATGCACTTTCGGTTAAAACTGGAAGTAAAGGTAAAGCAGATTCCTGCTCTGGAATGAACAAGTTGTCCGAGTCAATATCCATCACACAAAATAGAAAATGTACGCGCTACTCTATCAGTGCATAACATAATATATGCTTCAAAGTATTTTTTAATTTCTTACATTGAATACCTTGAAATTTGATGCCTGATATACGTCATGACGACGTCACACAATTCGTCCACATCTTCGGACAAGGGTATATTTTTCATTCCAGGATGCATCTTCGACCCATTTCGAAGAAATTGATTTTCCTTTGATTTTGAGGATTTAGTCTTTATTTTGAATTCACCTAAGTTAAAGCAAAACCAGTCAATGCAGAAAGTTCGATGTTACAATTGCTTCAGCATCAACATTGCAAGAAGTGTTGGGATTTCAGTAAGAAAACTGCATGCACAAATGTTTTCAATAAGCAAACTTTTTGGTTAACAAGTTGACAAAAAAACTAACTGTAGAATGCATTCTAATGTGTGCCCTACATTACATCACATCAATAGCACCCACAATTGTCAGTAAGAGTATGGATCATTTTAAATGTTAAAACAGTGTACTTTACCAAACTCCCCACCCCTAAAAAGGATTTCTCATACTTTCATACATTTCAGAGGAAATTCAAGTCACGGACCTTTAAAAGTTTTGTCATCAAAAATCTGTCAAATTCAAAAAAATGGACCTTTTGCAGCTATGTATAAACTACCAATTTTGTGTAAATGGATTTAAACACAGACACTTTGATAAGACATAATTAACCTGCTAGCTTCAAACACTTTCACCAAACACTATACACAAGCAGACGGAACAATCACAGATAGAAAGTTGTTGGCAGAAACAATGCAATTTATGTTTACATCTTGGATTTTAGCTTGTAAGACCAGTTGAGATGCAGATTAAGCAATACAGCCCGTATTAAGTATGCTTCCTTTGTACTTTGAAAACTATTGCAATTGGATAACATTTGTACTGGTACTTTTTCCTCTTTTTTAAATTTTTGTTGTTGACTTTATTGAATAGCGAATAAAGTTGATAAAACTCCAGTCCCTCAATTTGTATTTTTTTCCACAAAAAGCTAATTTTCGTTATTCGTATTATTGCGGGGAATGGTGCCTAAGTGGGTGATTCCCATAGGGTCGTGCACACAATATTTCCACCTTTAATGACCGCCTATCCCCAGTTGTCCCTTATCCTACCCAAGGAATGTCGGTATAAGTATTTATCATTTGGACACGAGCAATCGATCCAGCCTACTAGCGACAGCAAAATGTTGCATCTATAAATGAGTTGTGACTTGAGCCCAATGTCCGTGTATCCCCTAATAGGTTTTCCCGGCCAAAAGCGAAACAAAAGTCATGTAAACGAATCTGAATGGACATAAACGAAAGGCGCTGCTCAATCGCTTAATTGATTGAACTGAAATGGAATCGAATGCTGATCTGGTAGCGAAAATGAAACGCGTGTTCAGAGCGATTCTCAAGTTCAGACGAAAATGAATGACCGATTTTCAGGACTGAATGAACATTTTATAAACATTGACCATTCTATTTCACTTTTAGTTAAATGCCATCGGCACCCGATACAAGTAGGGGTTTCTTTTCATAAATCAAATTAGCTGTACCTGAAATCAATTTAGAAAAGGTACCGGTATGCTTGCGTAAATGAATGCACGTGTAACGTTATTGGCCGTCTGTTTCTCAAAACCGAATGCACGGACAATGAAAACGATTGAACTTTCGTTGAATTGAAATGGGATTAAAGACGTGCGTTCAAATTCAGACGAAAACGAATAACCAAGTTTCAGAAATGAATGAAAAATGAACATTTCAGGAAATTTGCCGGGAAAACCTAAATAACTTGTAACTTGTGATGGGAAAAAAAATGTTTCCTAAAGGGTAGGCCTACATTAACATGATTTTTGTGTCATTTATTATAGGTTTTCCCGGACAATTTTGGAAAATGTGTACATGAATTTGTAAATGAAGCATTCGTTTTCGTGCGAAATAGAATGAACGTTTCAAATCCCTGTTTCTATTTAACAAATGATAATTCTATTTCCATAAAGGAGCATTTAGTCGTAAAAAAATCAGCGTACGATTTCCCGAATGTGCACTGACTTTAGTATATTGACATTTCATTTTAGCGCGAAATCGAAGGCACATTCGCAATCCTGTATTCCTTTTAATGTATCATCAATCTATTTCGCTATTAAATGTGCAGCCGATTTTCCGTGCAGTGTTACCTGGTCAAGCATTGGAATTCATTGATGTGTTAACAAAAGTATATGAGGAATGTTTGATTGAATGTTTGATAATTCATGATGATTGAACTAAACCAAGTGGTGTAGCCTTTTGAAACATACCAACTATTGTAATAAATCCTATATAAAAATCAACGCTGAAGACAATTGTTCTGTTTTGCTCAGCATTTGCCACAATCGCATCATATAACCAAGCAATCAAACTGATAGAATGAGAGAAAACTTTAAGAAATACAGAAAGACATTAAAATACAATTAAGACAAAGAACCAACAATAAAAAGTTCCCAGATATCCCCATTAATATGACACGTGATGTTTCCCTTTAACTTGAACTTAACATCACTGTCAGAAGCAAGCGGAAAAACCCAAATAAGAGAGATATGGAAAGAGTTATGCAGAGGCTAGGATGGCATCACTTAACATGGTTTGAGCGGACGCCATAAAGTAAGTAAGGAAGTAGGCCTGAATTCGATTTTTTTTTTTTTTTTTTTTTTTTTTTTTTTTTTTTTTTGCTCCTTTAAAAACCTTTCGACTTTTTGCACTTGGCCTTCTTTTGCACAGACCACGTCAAAAGATAGGGAGCTCGAGAAGGAATACTACGTTACATAAATTCACAATATAATGTATGTGCAAACTTAACTTCTACTTAATTTAGGCATTTCATGCGGTTGAAAGACGCATTAATTCAAAAGTTTCTTTGGATGAAATGCGTCATGTGAGGGCGCTGTTATGGTTTTACGGTCCGCGAGATAATAGCTCGCGAGCGAGCAAACACGAATCACAAGTATAGAGGGCGCCATCCATTTGATTAGTGGCTCACTATTGCTCACTGAATACACAAACATTACCAGTTTACGTTTACAGGCACCATCCCCAAAATAAGGAAAATTGACTCGTTCATGATTCGTGATATCGTTTTGCAACAAGGTAGGCATTATGCGTGTCGTGTCTGGTTTTATTCAGTCTCGTGTCACTGTGTGTAACATAAGAAGGAAAGATTTCCATACAATGATACAGGTCTGGAGGCTGGACTAGTGTGAGTAACTCCGGCTGACATGATTCATTCACATAGCATAGCGCTGGAGACATAAACTACGGCCCATGGCGTTAAAATGGCCTCCCCAAAATTGTCCCTTTTCACCTCTATCCTATCCCAGATTCCATTAACATACTTCATCCATTAACATACTTAACATACCATTCAGCAGTCATTCAGCTACTAATCAACTTGAAACGGACCAAAAACAACTAAAATATGATAACTTTTGGTGGCTTTTCCATAAAAAACGTCCAGTTTCAACAGCTGTCGTCCATTTTGTGTGGTTAAATGCAAGTACATGCATCACGTGATGACAATAGTATGTGGATACTATGTGGGTACTACGACACTTTCAGGCGCCGCTAGTTTTAGTAGTAGTTGGTAGTAGGTTCTATTTTCGTCTGGTGTGTTGTCGTGGAAAGTTGACAGCTCTCCACGACAACACAACAGATGGAAATTGAACTCACTAGCCGCGCCTGAAAGCGGTGTGGTACCCACATAGTTAAGGGTCTCTTAACTTCTAACTTTTACGCCGTAGTTATGTCTCCAGCGCTACATGTGAATGAATATGAGCATGTCAGCTGGAGTTACTCAAGCTACATGTATACCTGGACATCACATGTCACCCTGTGCACAACAAACCATTATGAGGTAGGTCCAGACTGGGACCGTGAGTGCATAAAAACGTGCAAAATTACTACTGACGTTTTTTTTACTCACCATTAGGCTAATTAATGCCCACACAACACATACATCAAAATGATAAAGTTGCAAGCATGTCATCTGCGAAATTTGAGACCTTACATCAAATTTTAAGGCAAGTTTTTGGCAGTTCAAAAACCATCCATGTCAATCTCCATGCTCTGGAAATGGGTGTGTGATTCCCAATGTATTCTGGGTAGGTGTAGGAAGTGCCCTGCAGCTTACTTGTTTTTCAATCGATGGCCAAATGAACATAGCGCCCTCTGTTAAAAAATGAAACATTCTACATTCACTCGGATTAACAAGAGGGCGCTGCTTTATCTACAAGATGAAAATGTTTTTTTGCACAATGCATTGCAGTACACATCATCGTGATGTCTCACGTTTGGATTTCGATAACTCTCTGCAAAATTAGAATTAAAAGCTGAATTTTTGGTGATGCAATGCTCACAACAGCAACTTTGCGAGGCAGAAGTTTTGGGGGATTATTGAAGAAACTGTAGTGAGTAAGAAGCTTGCAAATTTGATTCACACTGGTTTTATTATGCAGCACAAACTTTTGCATGATATGGATACCTTAAGTTTTGGGACTCTCATACACAGTATTGAGAGTCCCAAATTTTCGGACTAAGGTAGGTCTAGCTTGAGTAACTCCAGCTCCAATGTTTATTGCATTTAGAATTAGAGGCACAACTACATGTCATGCATACATTAAAAAAACTAGATCGTAAGAGGCCCGAAATCCCGGACCGTATATCCCCCAGTGTATTACAAAAATGGTCCATTTTCCCTCTATTAATAATCCTAGCTGGAGTTACCTCAGCCCTATATTTTATCATTAGGTTGTCATATAGGGCTGGAGAAAATCATCAACATGGACTAGCATAGCAGGTATAACAATTGAATTCGAAAATGTGCCATTTTGTCCCCATAACACACTAATTCCACCTGGGACTCACCCAAACCTTGCCTGGCATAACCACTACACAGGTCTTGAAGAAAATAACGATCCATGATGAAGATTCAGCCTACAATTGCAGTGAAAAAAAGGAGGCATTACCAACAGCCAATCAAGTTAGCATCACCAGTCAGAGGCGCCAATTGATTTGTGCACAGACAAAATTCATGTACAAAAGAATGGCAATGCGCAGTCGATTACCATGCACATAGTGCACCAGTCCCACTTGCCAACTGCATGTGCATTGCGCAGCATGGCCCTGAAGCACACACCTGACGACTATTTGCTGCACTACTGCTGCACTAACATCACTCCCATCACGGCTGAGGTAGAACGGCAGCCGAAGTTGTCTGGCAAACAGTCGTCAGGTGTGCGCTTCAGTGCCATGACGCCCTGCGCACATGCAGTTGGCAAGTGTGACTGGTGCGCTGTGCATGGTAATCGACCGCGCATTACCATTCCTTTGTACACGAATTTTGACTGGCGACGCTAACTTGATCGGCTGTTAGTAATGATCAGCATGATGGAAATGCGGTAACCAGTCTATGCACGGCCGCGCTGCGCTGCACTGCAGTTGCAGGTCAGATTAGACATTGTAAAAATGCCAAGAAAACACCGATGGAGAAAGAACATTTTTGCAAGTTACTTCACAGAACTTGATCGCTCTTGTCTGTGTACATGTATGTATTTTCCAAGTGTTCATGAATTTATTTCAGGTTGGAGTGATATGATGCAGCGTGTTTCCAAGATTCTTTGCGCGCCACACACAGTGGTTTCATAATTCCATCTGTAGCCTTGTTTTTTCGAATGTTCCTCATAAGGTATTTAGAGGTCGTAACCGCACCTCGTGGTTTACATCAAACATCAAGAGACTCTGCAGTAAAAAAGAAAAACTCTTCAGTATGGGTCCAGCTCTGACTGGGAAAAGTTTACAAAAGTCAGGAAATCAGTTGACAAAGTTATTAGAAGTGCCCACAGGTACCATGTTAACAACATACTTGAATCTGAAAATCCCAAGGACTTCTGGCGATACATGTATAACAAAAAGATCAAGAAGGAAGGATAACACTGGAGTCTAGACACTGAAAGTGGATGGAAAATTGCATTCGGAAGATCAAGCGAAAGCAAAAGCTCTCTCCAAACAGTTTGAGAGTGTCTTCACTCGTGAAGATAGCAATCCAGGTCAACTACCTTCAGTGCCGTAGCCAGGAATTTTTCAGTGGGGGGGGGGGGGGCGCTGGGAGGGCTGGAACATTTCATGGGGGGGGGGGCGTCATGTAGATCAATGATAATTTTTTTAGAAACTCAAAATCTCAGTGGGGGGGGGGGGGGCGACTGGGGGGGCGACAATGTTTCATGGGGGGGGCTGTCCCCCCCAAAGCCCCCCCCCCCCCAATAAAAATCTACCTGGATCAAAAATCTACCTGGATCCCTGTTCTTAGTGGTGCTCCTCAAGGGACAGTTCTTGGACCTCATCTCTTCCTCCTTCACATCAATGATATTCATCACAAAGTCTCCAAAGTACCACCCGTTTATTTGCCGCTGATTGTTTAGTGTACAGATCCATCCAGACACCAGACGATGTCCTCACAGTACTTCAAAAAGACCTTGATACCATGGTAAACTGGGCCGAGACTTCGGGGATTAGATTTTATCCCAAGAAATGTACAACTATGGGCATCACTAGAAATAGATCACCAGGAACTACATCTTACAACATGATGGGAGTACGGATAGATGAAACAGACCAGTGTCAGTATTTGGGAATATTCCTCCAAAAAAAACCTCCGTTGGAACAAACAAGTCCAGCTTACATCTGCCAGGGCTACAAAAATCCTGAATTTCATCAAAAGAAATGTTCATCATGCTTCATCCTCCTTCAAAGAGAGGTTGTATCTTACCCTTGTTCGAGCTCATCTTAACTACTGTACACTACGGCAGCATGGGACCCTCACACTTCCAAGAACATCAAAGAACTAGAAAAAGTCCAGAAGAGAGCTGCAAGGTTCGCTTCAAACACCTATGGACGTGACACTAGCATCTCTGCTATCATGAAAGATCTGGATTGGACACCCTTGGAAGAAAGAAGAAAACAGCACCGCACCTTTTTTTTTTTTTTAATCCTGAGTGGACTAATGGACATTGACCATACCAAATACATCACCCCAAAACTGGAAGATCACGACGAGGACACAATATACAGTTCCAACTCTACCAGGCCAGGACTGACACATATGCTTCTTCAGTTTTCCTAAGAACACTTAAACTTTGGAATGACCTCCCGGACTCAACAGTGGCGCTCACCAACCCAGACTCCTTTAAGAATGCTCTTTGTGACAATACTTGATTTCGACCACTCTCACCACTCCTCCAGTTAAAATTCCCCAGATAGAATATTTTGGGGGACCACCAACCAAGTACAAAGTAACTGAGAGAGTGAGATCTTAACGGTAATTAGTTATAATATAACATGACAACAAACTTACTTTTTTGCAGCATATAATCAACCGTAGTCAGACGCAAGGTGTGTGCTTAACAATAGCAAGTTGTGTGATTCTCCCCTAGGTCGAAAATACCCCCTCTTACAGTACATTGTAGTCATGATCTCACACTTTACTTCTCTTTAAAGGGAAAATACAACATTTGCAAACATCAAAAAATAAAACTACCACATTATTTTGAAATATCTTGTTGGACTGTTAGTGAATGACAGTCTAAAGCATCCTGTAAAATCATGGCACCTGGTATTCTGTCATTATCAAGTGTTGGAAAAAAACTGGTTTTTTTTTCAAATGCTGGCCCCAATGGACCATATTTAGTTAGTCCACATTTGTTTGTAATTGATTACACACCTATGAACGGGTACAAGCCAGCTAGACTGGTTCCCTGACCTTACCATTCCCAAACGTCTATAATCGCTCTGTGTCATCTTAAATGGAGTCATGGAACCAGACTACAGGAAAATAATTGTTTTTCTTGGTTTTTATAGCATCTACAAACCCAAAACGTCAAAAAAGTTAGTCTAACAATATTTGCTATATATTACCAACCCCCCAACCCCCAATCCATCCATTTCTGAAAATTACACCAAAAGCAAATGATGTCTCATCTGCCAGAGCCAATAATCAGAAAAAAAGGTGAAATTTATTTCATTAAACACAATTTAAGAAAGAATATGTTTGTATTTTTTCCCCATGCACCAAATAAACACACTTGATTTTTCTTGTCGGTTATCTGTAGGTTTGTGATGAGTTATTCAACACATTGATTGTAAGTGAATGCAACAATGGCGGTACCAGACAGATGGTTGAACTGCCCTCGCAAAGGTCAACTCATTGCAGGTAAATCTTCACACTTTGGAAACCATATTGTAAAGTTTGGTTAAAACTACGTTAACATACATGTTAGCTGGGTGGTCGAGTGGGAGACGTCTACATTTGTAAGCAGGAGGTCGTGGGTTTGAGTCCCACCCAAGTTATTTGATCTCACAATCACTTGGGACAACACTGAGTATACAGTGTTTATACAAATATGTCTGTGAAGAGCAAACCCAATTTTTTATTAACTGTATATTAGGCCTATGTTTAAACACAGCCAACACACATTTTTACGTTACATACCTAGTGTGGTTATTTCTTTGTTTTGTGTAGTTATGAAAAACCATTGAAAACTCATTTTACTCACACTGTGAAAATACTTTCAACCAAATTTGTTTGCTATGATTCCCTTTAGTGTTTCTCTTCATTTTGCCACGATAAACCTAACCCAAATATGCCTCTGTTTTCCACAGAGGGGAAAACACTGTGTGGACGTGAGCAATTCCACACAACGTCGCTGCTACATGCACCTGGTTATATGGACCTCTGTTGTTGGGAAGTCCACACAGTGAATGTAATGCGATTTTACATAAAATAGGAGTTACTGTGTTACTACACGGATTCAAAATGGGATGCCAGACATTGGCAAAAAAGTTGAATGCTTTAATTAACCACATTGCGCTAGGATTATTTTGACATTGACATTATTTTGAAAATTTGGCATCATATTTTTTTGAAAGAATTTTTTTACACATATTATTTTCAAAATGCGGAAAAGCCTGTGTCCTGTTCATCGAACAGGCATAGCTCTAGTTTTCATTTGGTATTGTCTTCAGGTCAGTACTGTCTTCTGCCCCATCCATAGTTGGGACACTGTCCCATCCGTAGTTGGGACTGCGCCATCCATAGTTGGGACTGCCCCATCCATAGTTGGGACTGCCCCATCCATAGTTGGGCCATAAGAGACAGTCCTGAATCCTCCAATTTCAATATGATTGTGCACACCCCCCTAGGGAGTTAGGATTAATGGAAGAATGGAGAAATGTTCCTCCATGGTTCAGGGTGTTTTTAAAAATAAGCAAGTTGTCTCTTTGTAACCAGGAAACTGCTATTTACTGTTTGCTTACAGAAAAGTTTCTACCCTTCAAGACACCTCTTGGACCACAGTACAACAATAAAATTCCAGAAGAGAACCGCTTTAACCTGCCCATGCTGTTTTCCTATTTGGATAGCTACAAGGTCAAGATGGGACTTTTTGTTGACCTTACAAATACCAATCGATTCTATAACAAAGAGATGGCTGAATCAAAGGGAGCCAAGCATTTCAAACTACAATGTAGAGGGTGAGTTAAATATCATATTGTTGTAATGTTGGATGACTGTATATTGATTGAAGCTGTCTCTTCCTCGATTTGATACAGGGTTCGACCTTAGCGGTGGTCCGCTGGCCAAATGCCAGTTGAATTGCCGGCGGACCAGCTGAAACACCTTGCCAAGTGGTCCGGCTGGCCAGCCAAAAAAATCTGCGTCAAAAAAATGGTTGTTGTATTTATTTGGTTTCTTACTTACATTCGCTATTTTTTTCAAAAGAAACCTCCGTTATTTTTACAAATTCGCTTCGCGATATGACTACTTCGCAACTCGATGTCACGGTGACTTTCATCATGTGCGTAAACCCAGCTCAATGCGGCGATGACTGGTTCCCGCCGCGCCAATTTAGAAGACACGATGAAAATGCGGTAACTAGTCTGTGCACGGCTATGCGATCGATTACTCCTAGAGCCTCATAGATTAAGAACCCCGCAAAATTGTTTTCAGCACAAAACACTAATTAAGTACAAAAACGTCCATCAAAATGCAGAAATTTCCCACAGAACCGCTCCACAGTTTGCCCCTAAACTCCGTACCACATCTCATGACATACTCACAAAATATGCGCAGAACAAACATCGCTGGATTTTGTCTTTTTTGGGGCTAAAATGATGAAAAATATGCCCTTTCCGGACTGAGCTACTTGAAACGTGCAGGATGATTTTCAGTTCGCTCGGAGCGCGCCGCGGGGGGTACGGTACAAGCACTTGTACGCATGCGCATACTATCATTTCGCTTGTACCGTACCCCCCGCGGCGCGCTCCGAGCGAACCGAAAATCATCGTGCACGTTTCAAGTGTCAGGTTGGCTCAGTGCGGAAAGGGCATATTTTTCATCATTTTAGCCCCCAAAAAGACAAAATCCAGCGATATTTGTTCTGCGCATAATTTGTGAGTATGTCATGAGGTGTAGTACGGAGTTTGGGGGCAAACTGTGCAGCGGTTCTGTTGGAGATTTCTGCATTTTGATGGACGTTTTTGTACTTGATTAGTGTTTTGTGCTGAAAACAATTTTGCGGGGTTCTTAATCTATGAGGCTCCACTACGTGGAGCCTCATACTTTAGTTCTAGGAGTAGCGATTGACAGCGCTAGCATGGCTATGCATTGTGCAGACGCCAGGCACGTGCTCTGTCAACTGGTCGGATTCGACATCGTAAAAATGCCAAGAAAACACCGATGGAGAAAGAACATTTTTGCAAGTTAATTTACAAAATTGATCAAGCTTATCTGTGTATGTATTTTCTGTGTTCATGAGTTCATTTTGAGATCGCACTACTCGTATTTGGAGTGATACATGCCCCGTGTTTCCCGAAATTTTTGACGGTAAAAACGGGTCTGTCGGCCCATGGTGGGCCGCTCACCACACACGCACGCATCACACACCTCGGAGTTTCGGCCAGCTCCCCGCGTCTTGACTAGCGTTGTGCATATGGTGCGAACGACCTGAATTTTCCATTATTTTTTGAAATTATCGAACGTAAAAATATTGACAAAAATTAAAGCCTTTGGTTTTATTCACTTTTTGTTGCCATTTCGTGTATAGCTTTCGTAGTGCAATGAAACTAGTTCAGGCTAAAACTTCGCATATAATTGAATACCCCATTCAATCTGCATAAAAAAATTGGCAAAAAAGAGAAGAATTTCCGACCGACCGACCCTATTTTTGAAAGGCATGTAATCGGAAGCAGAACTATTTTTTTGGCCTAATTAAGGTAGGTTTTATTCACTTTTTGTGGCCATCTTTTTGTGTATAGCTTTTATAGTGCAATAAAAATAAGATCAGGCTAAAACTTCGCATACTGAGGCCTAATTGAATACCCCATTCAAGCGGCATAAAAAAAAATGGCCCCCAAAAACCCAAAAATCCGACCGACCGACCCTATTTTTAAAAGGCATGTAATCTGAGGCAGAACTATATATTTTTTTGCGGCCTCAGATCATGGAGGAAGAAAATAGACCTCTATTGCTCAGGTGACATGATGACATGGGTGTTGATGACAATAGTCTTGTTATGACTTATGTGAAACTGATTAACTGGTGGGTACACGCTGTATAAGACGGACCAGTCAAAAACCTGGCGGACCAGTCAAAATTCTAGCCAACTGGTCCGGCTGGCCAGTCAAAAAAAAAGTTAAGGGCAACCCCTGTGATAGACTCAGTGATTTATGTATATGTGTAGGGTTATAAAAAATAATGATACAATTAAGAGCTTGAACTCTATCAGTGTAAAAGGATGGTTTGTAAGCTTTCCATTAATACATGTACATGTACCTCACTTGCAACCATGCAGTTATGGATGACTGCACCACTGATTTCAAAACATAGCTCCACATGTTCTGGGTCTGATTTTGTAGCACTTGGCATGAGCTGGCTAAAACAAAGCACATCTCTGTAGAATGTGTGCAGATCTCTCCCATTCAACACAAAGTCTACAGTGCATTGTTTGGACGATTTGTCAAAAGATGGTTTTTGCCCTCCAGTTGAAGTCAGTTGTGCTCAGTCATCCATGACTGCTGGAAAGGAAGAAAGCAGAGTCTAGCTTCACTTAGACTTTTGATTTGATTTCAGACATGGGGAATGTCCGTCAGTTGAGCAGACTCAAGCATTCATCAAAGTATGCTCTAACTTTGTCAGCAAGAATCCAACAGATATCATTGGTGTACACTGTACTCATGGATTCAACAGAACCGGCTTCTTGATATGTGCATACTTAGTTGAGCAGATGGATTGGAGGTAAAAATGACATTGCAACTTCCTGACCCAAAAGATTGTTACTCTCTAGTCCTATTTGAACATTTGATAATTTGCAAACACCTCCTTTTTACTTTGCATGTAGTTATCCGATTTACGTTTTTTGTCCATGAGGCATCAGAATTTTGCATACGAGTGGAAACGGTAAGATCAAGACTTTATAGACAACACAGATTTAAACTGACTGAACCTTAGCTCAAGCTTTATTTTTCTGTTCCACTTCTTCATGTTTATGCAAAGTTTCTCTGGGCTATGCACACTTCATAGCACGGTTAAGTGTCAATCAAGAATGTTTCTCCCACGTAGACAAATACCTGGAGCATGAATTCCAATTACGTCAGTATCAATCAAGTTAAATTATCTCAGATCTTCCAATCCGAGTGGGAGACACATTTTGTGCTCTTGGTCTTATGCAACTCTTAGATGCCTCTTGGACAAAAACGTAGATCGGGTACCACAGTAAACAGGTTCACAACAAACAAAGGGGATTATGTGATTAACTTCATTTCTTTCACACAAGGCTACTAACGAATAAGTTATTGTTACAAGTTTTTTTTCAGCTCCCTTCTCAGGTGCCAGCTAGTCATAGGCAAGGTGGCGCAAGTTTCTTTGTCATTTTTTTGATAAATGATAGTGACCTTGATGTCATTTAGTGAATAAAAGCATACCACACGGCTGTCAAGTTTTTCTTTGAGAGGCAAGATAAAAAAGAGAGCATCAAACTGACTGAAACAAAAAGGAAATTGCTTTTAACAATATATGTTGATGTATGAGTTGTTGATGCCTTGCTAAACATGGACAGTCTGTCTGTTAGCTAGTAATCGGTTGCCAGACGAACAATGACCTGGTTTATTTGGCCACACACAACCCAACCAGAGTTTGATCTGCAGCAGTAACCGTTGTTTACAGTGCTTATATCTCATTAGTTAATTCAACTAACACCACATTAACCATGTCATGTTGTGCATTGAGGCTTAAGCCAGACAGACATAAGATTTGCTTTCACTGTATTTTATTTTGTTGTTTCCAAGTGGCCTTAGGCTCTGAATGTTACGTCCGTTATATGGAATTTCTCACTACCAAATGTCACTTTTCCCCCATTAATGTGGGAGAGGGATGCTCTTTTCTTGGTAATGTGTTTAACAACGGTCAAGTCCCTGACAGAAAAAAATCATTATTCTGTCATAAAAGGCAACGTGACTGAGCTTTAATAAGTTATTCGCTACTGTATGCATGTAACTTGAATTTCTTCATATACCATTCATTGCACATTCTGTCCAAATTTGGAACACCTCATTAGTTCCTCTTTAAGGTTAAATGGACTCTTAGTGTCAAGAAGTGAAAAGGGACTGATGTCACAAGGAATGAAGGTCACAAAGTCTCATCCAATGGCTATTAGCTAACATCAAATCCTCGCTCTTATTTACTAGTTGATATGATTTGTGTGGATATTTCCAGCATTGATGCGGCAGTGAGTGTGTTTGCTAAAGGGCGTCCACCAGGCATGTACAAAGGTGACTACATTCAAGAGTTATATAAACGCTATGGTGATGTTGATGATACACCCACTGCACCAGAACAACCTGACTGGTGCCTAGGTAGGTACACAGCTAACACCAAATGACATTTTGGTCTGATGCATTGTGTTTTCTTGCCGCTATCTGCACAATGACACAGGGAATTTGTTGGCAAACTCTTATAGGTAAAGTTAACTGTATTGTCCCTAAGATGTCAAAGCATTGTTAAGCATCCTGACATAAGTATTGTTGGTATAATGGACCCGTTCACTATCTGTTTTAAGGCTTATTTATCGGCAATAGTTAGTTATTAATGTTAAGAGATACATGATGGTTGGTGCTTATTCTCTGGTAGTTGGTGTCAGTTGAATATATGCCCATGGGTTAATGTGCTAAGATATTGTCATAAAATACCTGTAAGGGAGCAAAAACCATTTGCAGATAATGAGTAAGAATTTTTTTAAATGCAAAACACATACATAATTGTATTGTAAGAACATCCTTTTATGGAAGGTTATGCTTAGCACAGTGCGTCTTCATATGAACACTATGCAAGTCACAATGCAGACACTTGATTTTTGTTTGCCTAAGTTTTGTTTACCCTTGTAAAGGAATCCATTAAAATGGGCCCCCCCCCCCCCCCCCCCGGTTGATTATAGTGGTGTTTTTAACTAATTTGGAGTGAATTAATTGTCCTTTATATAGGTGCAGATGACAGAGATGAAAGTGCAGTTTCTAGTAACTCCAGAACCAGTAATACTCCAGGTGATTCAGGCTCACGGCATCAGCGAAGTCAAGTCAATGTAAATAAACAGGTAAGAGTTGACTACTAAGGCACAAAATTATAAAAAAAATACTTCTGCTTCCAATTACATGCCTTCCAAAAATAGGGTCGGTCGGTCGGGAAATCTTTTTATTTTGCCAATTTTTTTTGGCTGCTTGAATGGAATTTTCAATCATGTGTATTTTGGGTCTGAGTTATTTTTATTTGCGCCACAAAGCTATTGAAAATGACCCTCAAAAGTGATAAAACCTTGCCTTAATTAAACCTAACCCCCTAGGCCCTATTTGCTAGGAACCATCCTCATACTATTGTGCACTTATGTTTAAATGAAGGTCACTGCGTCGCTTCAGTCAAGTAGCTGACTATTTTAGCTCGTGAAAATTATGTTACATCTCCTGGGCTATAGCCACTTAGGTCAAAGATTATTGTGCTCAGCGCCCCCACCATGTGACATTCTGCCAGCCACTCACAGGGAAGAAATGTCCAAGTGGGAATGCGTGGTCAAATTACGTGAAGGAATGTTGACAATGAGTCGTGGTAAGTTACCGCGAGGCCACGGAAGAAAAAAGTCCAATGGAATTACAGCTTAAATAGGAATGGATTGACTCATTTAAAGTAAAGCTTGCAATAAGCAGACCGTACATTTAATGTTTGACTTTTGTTTGCACAAGCAGTTTATGGAAGGAGTGACAGGCGTGAGCATAGTGACTGATTATCAGACCGTGAACCGATTGAAACATCAACTCCAACGTATGACTGGCTGGCGTAGGTGAGTTCTTGCTGGTTATAGTGAGTCATCTGTTAAGGCAACACGAATAATTAGAACTCTGCTGACTATGTTTATTGATTCATCTTTCATAGAATCTGCTAATATTATTGTTTGTCTAGCTGTCACATGATCTCATCCTGGTCCTTATACCTAAAGCTGAGACATTGGATACAACACAAGGCCCAAGGATCACATCGTCACAGCATGACAAATTGCTCAACCGTCAATTTGAAACATTGTACATTTATTGCATCTCATAAACATGATGAAAAATTTCATGAAGCACCAGGACAGGTATCTGCAACCTTATTGTCCCGCCGGAATGAAGTTCAGGAAAGAAACCATGCAATCACCATATCTGTCCGTATGTCCATCCAGACATCCCAGCCAGACGGAATTGTGGGGTGATAGCATTGTGTTCCTTTTATCCCTTTTTCTAAAGATCCTCCTCTGGGGTGATGTTTGTCTATTGTTAAAATAGTGGGGAGATGTGTTCTGAAAGGAACATCACCCCACAAGTATGGTATGGTCAGAACGTCCGTTAGGGCGGGCGGACAGTTCTGGGGTAGGAGTATTGTTGTCCTTGTATCCCTATTTCTAAAGATTTCACTTGCGGGGTACCCTATATTCTAAAGATTTCACTTGCGGGGTACCCTATATTCTAAAGATTTCACTTGCGGGGTACCCTATATTCTAAAGATTTCACTTGCGGGGTACCCTATATTCTAAAGATTTCACTTGCGGGGTACCCTATATTCTAAAGATTTCACTTGCGGGGTACCCTATATTCTAAAGATTTCACTTGCGGGGTACCCTATATTCTAAAGATTTCACTTGCGGGGTACCCTATATTCTAAAGATTTCACTTGCGGGGTACCCTATATTCTAAAGATTTCACTTGCGGGGTACCCTATATTCTAAAGATTTCACTTGCGGGGTACCCTATATTCTAAAGATTTCACTTGCGGGGTACCCTATTTTCTAAAGATTTCACTTGCGGGGTACCCTATATTCTAAAGATTTCACTTGCGGGGTACCCTATTTTCTAAAGATTTCACTTGCGGGGTACCCTATATTCTAAAGATTTCACTTGCGGGGTACCCTATTTTCTAAAGATTTCACTTGCGGGGTACCCTATATTCTAAAGATTTCACTTGCGGGGTGCCCTATTTTCTAAAGATTTCACTTGCGGGGTACCTCGAACAAAGGACGGGTTTCCCACAAGTGGTCCTTGGTCAGCACGCTGGAACGTACACGTTTGTTTATGGTTTAAATATAAAGATAATCGCGCAAGCAGACAAGATGCGCGGTAAGAGAACCGCCTTGTATTAAAACCTGTCCAATTGTAAGTGTCTCTGTATTCCAAACCTAACATAAACCAATCCAGAGATATTGATTTAGACTGTGTTGATTGTTATCATACATAGTCTGTATATCTAATGTCGTCTACTTTGTTTCGTACATGTACTGCCTACCATGAGCAGGTTGGACTTCCCTGGTTGTCAGCCAGTCTCACTGGATAATAAGAATATTGCTGCTCTCAAACACAAACTCTACAAAGTCAGCTGGAAGGCTGATGGTATCAGGTATGTACCAACTTTGTCAGCTTTCACTTACTTTACTTGCCGCATGTAAATAATATGAAATTATGTAAATATTATGAAAGTCATATTTAAACAATAGAAGTCTTTTTTGGACTTTTGGGCTACTTCACAGGAACATACTGCAGGAATCTAGACACAATACATCAATCAATTCTGGGAGAAGAGAATGTAAGAAACAAGAAATCCACACAGAGGTTTTTTTGCTGCGGTTGTGTTTCAAGATGAGAGAAAAGTCTCTTTGCATCAATTTGTATCTGTTAATATTGTTTGGTGTTGATCATGACTATATATTTTTTATGATTCAGTAGTTAAAATTTTGTCGCAAAAAAAAAATGAATCGTTTTCTTAGAGTCACTCCCGAAGCACGGAACGTGCAATGCTATAATAATAAGTTGGGAAGGCAAATATTATAAAAACATAATATGAACCGTTATACATGTAAATTACATGTATCTCCCCAAACCCCCTCTTTTCATGAAGTATTCCATAACCATGTGTTTTGTAAAGATGGTGCAAAAAGCTTGAAAATCAACACTTGTAGTGGCTTCCTGGACCATTTGGCATTCTCATACCTGGTATACTCAAATAGCCACAGATCTACAATGTAAATGCCTAACTATGACCCCTGTATCACTTCAATCATACGAATGTATGATTCAGATATGACTTGGCTCACAAGAACTACTGAGTCTCAGACATGGAAGACCTGTTACTCCTGGCTCAATGTGTGTGCCTTTTGTTTTGTGTTGTTTTTAACATGACTGCAGGTATATGATGCTGATTGACGGGCCAGATCAAGTCTATATGTTTGATAGAGATAACACAGTATTCTCTGTCAAAAATCTGGCCTTTCCCAAACGTAAAGAAGACGGTCATTTGACGGATACATTACTGGATGGTGTAAGTATGGAGCAGTCACAACATACAGATAAAACATCCCAACCTTAACACTTATGCTCAATCATGGTGCAGTACATGTATTAAATCAGTAGTACAAGACATCATCTGTTCCTCTTCATTTAATAAGCAGTAACCTGTGCGTTTTTTTAATCAGCTTTCATCATGTACACTGCACATGTAGCACAAGATTTCAATCTGATAATAAAAATGATAGCCAACTAATTCTTAGTTTGGACTTCCTTTAAATATAATGAATTTTGTGGGGGTTTTTTTTTTGGTTTTGTATAGAATGCTTGTTACAGCTCTGAAACCCATTGTTATTAAAAAAAAAAAAAAATCAGATTGAAGAACATTCTGTTCTGCTAAAAATAAAATACTACAGTTCTATGCGACGAGGAGATATAACTCAGTTCCGCATTATAGAGTTTATATATGACAACCACTCTACCCCACCCATACCCCATCTGAAACAAGAGATGGTATCATTGCAAGAAATTCCCACATTTGTGTTTCAAAATATCATACATGTAATGAAATGAAGCTGCTAATTTAAGCTTGTAACAGCCAAAACCACTACAAAAATTGTTTTATATGAGAAAATTGATGGATCCATCGAATAAGGTATCCATAAAATAATGTAAATTGTTATGCACACGAAAGGACAGTCCATTATGAATGATCTGTTTTGTAGATCGGGTCAATGATGCCCTTCTATGGTTGTGCACCTACTTGTGTGCATACTAACATGCCCGAGTCAAACATCCTGGTGCAGGTGGCAGCCTTTGTGAAGTGGCTTTACCCTAACCCCCTGGAGTGATTTGCTAGGAACCTCCCTCACTCTTGCAAAATCCATATGGTCGCACAACACCCAAACTCTTGGACTCTGATTATGGTGGTATGCCAGACCCCACCCATACCCCATCTGAACTCACTCCAACAGATTCCAAAAAATACGCAGTTGGATTTTGAAGGGCTAGGGTGGTAATGGTTTACAAAATTCAACGCATGAAGTCCCATCCTTTTTTAAGTCATACAACACTGAAAACTATATCTGGCACATGAAACCAGCAAGATGGCAGCTAGTGCAAATTCGTCATAGTTTTACTTAAAATGTTAAAATTTGATAGTTTGTTGCTGTGGTAAAAAGGTGTGCAGTGAGATTGATTGTTTGCATATATGCTCATTTCAAAAGATACCTCAGGTCCAAGATATGCGTGTCAGTAAAATTCGGGCCATTAAGAACATAAGAAACTTTATAACACCTCACCCACAGATTCTTTGTCTTGATTGGCCGAGAGCAAGTCACGTGATACTTTCTATTTTTGCTATCTTTCTGTGCACCGCCAAAAGTACTATACCCGTAGCAACCAAAGTACTATACCATTAGCAACCAAAGTACTATTTCCCTGTTGCGGTATTTGTGTGCAAATGCATGCTGGTGTGCGCGTTGCACGCAGCGTGTTTTGTTCCAAAGAGAGCGCGCCGCAGAGTTGGGTTCAAACATTTCGCGAAGGGGTAGTTTGGAAGAGAGAAATACATTCTCCTCCAGTTTTGCATTGAAATTGAAGTTTATTTCAACTGTGTTCAGATTTAAATAATTTAAATATTATAACCAAGCAGAATCTGTGGGTGAAGTGTTATAAAACAAATATTGAATGCTTTATCTCGTGGTGAAGTAAAACTAGCCGCCCTCGGTGATCCATGGAGCATTCTATTTTCCCTCGGCTTCGCCTCGGGAAAATAGAATGTCCATGGATCACCTCGGGAGGCTAGTTTTACTACACCACTCGAAGCATTCAATATTTGTATACCAGTTTGTAGAACGGTAAATGTGTACCTTCCCCGTCACATATTTTCAGTGGCACTGATCACAGCCTGTACAATGTCACTGTATACAGTCTTATCAGTAGCAAGTAAAATATATACCAATTCACGGGGTTGATTGGAATGTTACTTCTAGCACATTTTTGTACATAGTGTTGCATTTAGTCAGACCTTGAAGTGCATTCATTTAACATGGACGTCTTATCTTGTCTTTATTGATTAGGAGATGGTTGTGGATAGGATAGATGGGCGGGCTATTCCTAGGTATCTGGTGTATGACATCGTTGTGTTTGAGGTAAGATACATCATCTGTGCAGAGTAACATATATACATCAATCATCATCACTTCATGTTCATCAAGTCTTGAGTTGAGTAAATGTTGTTTTGTTAATTGATATACAAAAAATGTATATCAATAATGATCTATCTGATTACCAAGTATGGACATGATTGATCATTTTGTTCAAGAGTCCTAAGTGCAAGATGTTGGTCACTTTGTCAACCAAAATCGCTTGCAATTTGATACCTGATGATCACGTAATCGTGTCTGTCAATTGAAATAAAGGATTTCCATTTGTTGAACATGATTATTGGTGCATGGAGCTTTTTATAGCTCTATTGGTGCATATGGCACACCCAATTTGTGTGCAGTAGTACAGCTAGTGCCACCCCCATGCGAAATGAGTGACCTAGATAGTAGTGTTTTCAGTACAAACATCTGATTTTTGACTCTAGTGACCCAATTTTCCATGTCTGCAATAAATTGGTAGCCGATCAGTGGAGACCTACTAGAGTGTCACAACACAGGGCCATGAACCTTTTTTTGGCAAATTTCTTTAACTTTAAACAGTTAAATATTACATCATCTCTATGAAAACACTCCAAAACATATTGCTATTACAAAAAACATAACGTTCATGATGATATATAACCCTGTAATCGTCAATTGTACAATTTGTACAATATGAATATGCATTTTAAACCTGACCCCTTCTCAAAAATACATTGATCACACAATTCAGCTGACCACCACTGATCATTGACCGTTCCATGAACTGATGGATGCCCATTAAATAAAATGAAACGTGGACGTTTTCCCACCTCAATGAAGGAATGAAAACTTGTAAAGGAAAACAGACAAAAATCACCATCAACATTTCAGAAAAATATATGACTTCTTCTTCATGTTCAAAACACAAAATCTGACAGTAAAAATTATGTTTCAGTCTTGACTCAAAATATTAAATCTCATTTGTATTTGAATGCTTGTGTGTAATATGTCATTTTCACTCAGCTCAATAGCTTCCAATGACATTCCATGGACAGCTATAAAAGTAGCTTCCTTCAGTAAATCATGCATTTCTAATAGCATGGATCAATTTCAGTAATTATTTTTTATTTCAGATAGGTAGAGGAACATGCTGTTTTGAGACAAAGTTCATTGATGTATCAAAAGTGATTGCTTTTTAAGAAAGAAAAAAAAATCATTAAAATCCAGGTCACTCTCTTTTCGACTCACCCTGTAGAGTTTGATATGTACACTTGAATAATGAATGCTATGTGAAGTGATTTTTGTGAAGATCAGTCACAAAAGAGACAATTTAAGAGGAAACAAGTTGATTGATTTGATTGATTTGATTGATTTGATTGCTTCGATTGATTTGATTGATTCGATTGATTGATTTGATTGATCTGATTGATTTGATTGCAGGGTCAGCCTGTAGGCAGCTGTGACTTTGATCGTAGATTACTGTGCATTGACAAAGAGATCATCCAGACAAGGAGTCAACATATGGCACAAGGAACCATTGATAAAACCAAGGAACCATTCAGCTTACGTATGAAGCAGTTTTGGGATATCACCAAGACCAAAAATGTAAGTTTGAATTCTATGATCATTTATAAACATTGATCTAAGATGTGTACCTTAGGGCTGTCAGTTCTCATGCCCGACACCATTAAAGGGGCACTAGGTCCTGAAATCCCCCAAAATGTCATGTTTTGGATTGTTTACTTATCCTATTTCAAACATGTGGTTGAAAGGAAACCAACCTAATGTTTTACCGTTTTCAAAAATTGGGTCGGTCGTTTGACCCAAACCAAAGGTATTTTTTTGTTGGCATAACTTGTTAGTCAATTCACAGATTTTTTAGCGTTCTCAAACAATCAGTGGAGTGACCACTGGACTTATCTTGTTACTTTGAAGAGCCAAGTTCAGATCTCAAATCTTGAAACTCCAGTTATACTCTATGTCCTTGTGTGATTCTGTTAGATTAATTGATCTGCTCATTTGAATGCAAGGTAATTGTGTTTTTGTGACAGATATTAGACGGCCATTTTTCACAGCAAGAGCTTGGCCATGAAACAGATGGAGTTATTCTGCAACCGCAGCAAGATGTAAGCTGAAATATTGCATAGATTGGATGTCAATATTGTCTGTCACAACATAAACATACCAGACCAAGTTGCTTGTTTCTGTAGCTCTATACCCTCACAATTGTCTGCCATATGTACCATTAGTACCATAGTTTATTGTAGCAGCAGCCAATCCCATGAGTGTTGAATCTATCTCTTTGGCAAGTTTTCTGCTTAAAGTATTTGCATCAAGTTTGTTCATTCATTTTGGCAATTTAAAATAAGTAGCAAAGGTATCATACCTGAAACTCATTTAATGATATGACATCACATGTACAGGTACACACATTCCCTTCATTAAAAAAGAAAAGAAAAAGAACTGCCATCTGGCAGTACATACAACAGATGCTTATACACAGTGAGAAATAGTTTTGCAGGGAAAGCCTGAGTTTTGCACACTATTCTTTTCTGTTCATGATAGAAATATACCCCAGGTCGTTGTGACACAGTACTGAAATGGAAACCTCCCAGCTTGAACTCAGTTGACTTCAAGCTACAGATCACTTCAATGCGTAGAGAAGGGTAAGTCATCACAACTTGAATTTGAAATTTACAAATAAGTAAAGAGTGAATTTTACTGAGACAATTTTAGCTTTTACAATGACGTTCATAATTGAACTGAACTACGTACACTTAAAGTGAAAGAATTACTTGCCCAATCACCTTGCATTTATAACTGGAACAAATGGAAACCTCTAATTTGCAGCTGCTTTTATATTGCGTTTGGCTGACATACGAATGAGTCATTAATAAATGCTTGTACTTCTGACCTTTTTTGGCAGCATGCTACCAGAAACCAAGGGTTTTCTGTTTGTAGGAGGTTACGGTAGTCCGTTTGCAGAGATCAAACTGACAAAGGAACTCAAACAGTATGACAAGAAGATCATCGAGTGTACCTTTGAGAATGGCCACTGGGTATTCATGAGGGAACGCACAGACAAGAGCTTCCCCAATGGACATGCTACTGCTGTCGGTTAGTAACAAGTTTTCATACAAGTGATCATTAAGTTCATTTGCTCCCACATGCCCCAAATGGCCTTAGAATTTGGCTCGTTTGGTGCACCAAACGAGTCACTCTTTGACAAAGCAGAGTGAGGACTATGATCAAAGTCCATGATGCATATGTCAAGGAAATGAGAAAAATACCGAGTATATGGATTGTCAAATATTATTGATTGACAAATACTGGGCACAAACCTTCCCCTCTATTACACCTTTGGGCAATTCCACAGAATTATAAACCTAGGAGCCAAAGCTCCACAATATCCAAATGCCACAAATTATACATGTGTATTTTGAATTTTATTATCTGTATTTATTGAAATATAGTTTATTTCTCACAAAGTTTAACAGGCCAGCTGTACAAGTATCATAAGTATGTGTCATGCCCATGTACATGTAGACACATTTGGCAAATACTTCTAACAAACATTTAACAAATTATACTTTTATTGTATCACGTCTTGGATACTGTAATTCAATTGGTCTAGCCACGTGTCCAGCCTGTAAAAAATGACCGTTTACTTCATATTCATTGCGTTGCACATATATACTGCATTGCATATAAATAATCTTGTATACGTGTACCGCATTGCATATAAATGACCTCATATACACTGCCTGGCATAAACAATACGTCCACAAACAATAGGGCACAAACAATACGTCCACAATTGACCGACAGTCCACGATTGAAATTTGTGTACAAAACCAATAAGAGCCTTTGCTAAAAAGTTGAAGTACCAACAAAGGAATGAGGATTAGGGACAAAAGGGGGTCCACGATTGCCAGTGTTTACAAAGATGGGTGTATGTGAGTTTGTTTCTGCATTCAATAGGGGACATTGAACAAAAGAGGACAATAGGGTCCCCAAGTATTAACAAAGGAAATGGGAAGAGAAACAAAAGAAAATCCTCGATTTACACCATAAACAAACATGCTAGTGGGCGTGTTCATCTATTCAAACCGTGGATGAAAAGTTTTACAGAACAGAAGAGAACAATATCGTCCACGATTCCCAGCATACGTCCACGATTGGGGTCGTGTACAAAACCTATGCAGCATACGTCCACGATTGGGGTCGTGTACAAAACCTATGCAGCATACGTCCACGATTGGGTCGTGTACAAAACCTATGGGAGTCTTCCTAAAAAAGTTAGAGTACAAACAAAAGAGAGACAATAGAACGTCCACAATCGCCGGTGTGAACACGTTTCTCTGTGCAACCTCTCAATCTCATGTCTGGCAGGAAAGCTCACAGTAATCAATAGGTTAGGCCAAAAAAAAAAAAAGTCGGTCTCTGGTCAGCGCGCGCATTGATCTTTTTTTTTCCAAAATGTTCCGCGGTAGCTCCAACAGCGCCCTCTATTTCTGTACCTTCTCAATTTTTTTTACCAAAGAGCACCAAGGAATGGGAAATTGCACCAAGGCAAATCATCGAAAGCACCAAGGCAAATTATGGAGGACACCAATGTATATGAGGACACCAAAAAAGCAAAATAGTACCCACCTTGTCTGTACAATCCAAGCTTGAAGAAAAAAAAAGAAAGAAAAAAGATAAAAAAAAAAAAGCCGCATGGCCGCGTCAATTCCGGAACTTTGGTCTGACCAGAGACCGAATATTTTTTTTTTTGGCCTTACACTGCACTGATTTATTTTTCTTGAATACTGAGTTAAAAACCTGTAAATTTTTTTCACTTGTTGACATGATATAACAAAACAATTGTGACTGCTGTGATGTGTAATATGTCATTTTTAACCCCCTTGGGGTGCTATGCACCCCTTGGATGTTAAAAATGACATATCCTACATCACAGCAGTCACAATTGTTAAATATCAGTCAACATTTCAAATTGCACTGTGTTAGAATGTTACTACCGTACATGACCAATACTCATTGATGTACATATTTCTGTTGTATCTGTTGCAGCGGTGTGTAACAGCATTGCCAATCCTGTAACAAAGGAGGTTCTTCTGAATTACATCCGAGACAATGCCACCAAGCCAGGTAGTAAGCGACCGATAGATAGTAGCAGTAGTGCACCATCAAGTAAAGTCATCAAGTTGGACAGTCAGTTGATGCCACCACCTCGTCATGTTGTGTCTGACCAGAAACCAAGTCTGCAGAAATCATAGTGTTCAATGTGTAGTTATGCCTTCAGTTGGAGTGTTACATCAAGTACAGGTCAGACCATGCTGTGTAATGCATACTCAATCATTTATTACTGCGGAAAGAGACAAACTAGTCTACATTGTTTTTAATATTAAAAAAAAGGAAAGTAATCTAAAAAACAATTGTCTTTAACTCACATGGAAATTAATCATTGCTGGTCAAAAATCTTATTTTGTGCATAATTTTTATTAAATCCTCTCACATTTAGGTATTAATAAAGGTATTTTTTTAGATTTTGCCCTTTGAAATACAGTGCTTAGAATACACAGATTTAGAAACTGCCACCCGTTTCAGACTAATATCCAGAGTTGCACCGAGTTAAGATATTCCTGTGATTTGAATTAAGGTACATTGAATTGTTCAACATTTAAAGAGTTGGGAGCGACTATGGCCAAGTTCGGGCAAGGACCATTAGTCGACTAGTAGTTGATTTGTGACGTACCTTACGCCTGCGCACTAATAGCAACGTGCGAACGTCTCTAGTCAAACGCTGGTCAAAATGTCATCGCAAAACTTCTGGATCCTGGCTCTCTGCTAGCGTTATGAATGCGCGCGGCGATTGGTTACCAGCGAAGCAACCAACCCCAGTAGGCTGGTTCCAAATAGTCGACTAGCGTAGTCAACCACCGTCGACTAGACAGAGTTCGGGCAAACGTTAGTTAACCATTGGTCAACTATAGTCCTTGCGCGAACTTGGCCACAGCCACAAGATTGCCTGGTGCAGTCGTTTGGAATGACTCTAAAGTGCAGTCAATGGAAACGTACTATATAAGAACGCCTACCTGAAACCTATATCACTGTTGGTTTGGAGCTGGGTCACTTCTTTTACCTATTTACCATACTATTTGGTTGGATGCAGCTCTGGACAAGCCGTGTGAAATGGATGTTAGTCATTTGTATGTGGAAGGTTTTGTCAAATCAGTGATTACAGATGCCCTGAAGCAACCAAGCAGCAGCAATCATAGTCTAGCTGATTGTGTGAGACAGTAATACTAAATGCTAGCACAAATCAAAACTCTCATTCTACCACTTCTTCATCCAATCTTTTGTTTGACCTGCATGGTATTTTTGCATTGAAGGTAACCAATCATGGGAGGATACACAGTGTAGTGACTTGGGAAGACTGTGAAATATATGTCATATTGCCAGGTTCCAGCGGTTCCCCAGTTCCACCCGGTTCCGATATGAGAACCAGAACCGCAAGTCCAATCTTCTCAAGTACCGGGTACCTGCTATGCTTGGTTCAGGCTCCAAAAGAATCGGCTCCAGAGTAAGTTACCCGTTCTCTGTGCACAAAGCCCAGAGCCGAGAATCAGTTCCATAGGCATTCAATCGTGTGAAGGCCCGGGATATTCACTATGGCTAGTCAAAACACTGGCGGGGAATAACCACACGGACTCACACACATTACATGGAGAGTCGGTGACAAAACGTTCAGCTGAGCGCTTTGGGGCCATGAGGCATAGAGCATTGAACCCAATATTGGCCCTGTACCATGGATAATAAACATTTTAATGACACAATTACTCATGGGGCGTGGCCAGACTTATCTAAGCTGTAATTGGAATTGGCAGCAAGTGCTGTAATCGGCTCTGACAGACCCGGGTACAGGTACAAAATACCCGGCTTTGAATGAGTCCTGGGTCTACCGGGCTTTAGTTGCTTAAACATGAATTTATCCTGAGCATTGGTGCACTTTGTAAAGATAATCGAAAACTCAGTCTGCATTCATGCAACTTACGCCCAGTAGATCCATGACTCGTTGGGAGCCGAGTATTTTCAACCTTTACCCGGGTCCATCAGAGTCGATTCCAGCACTCGGAGCCGGTTCCAAGTATACAATGTACTTACAGTTACAGCGGAGATTGAGTGTCGCTCACATGGGTAGTATAGTGAACATGTGCAGCGCAGTTAACCATTCTATTCTACACAGTCGGCGGTTGTCGCGGTAAATAAATTCATAGGCAAGGAACAGAAAATAAAACAATAAACGCTATGTTTGCTTTTAATAACCACAATCTTCATAGTTTCACACATTTGAAACCAAACATGTACCGGTATTGCACGTCAAAATCCACGGAGCACAAACCTCACAAGGTGACACCGTTTACTTTGCATGTAATTTCAAGAGCTTACGTTGTTCATTGAATTTTCCAGGAGCTAAATCTGACTCGGAACCGGTTCTTTTTAGAAAACCAAAACCGGCTCCAGAAATTCTGGAACCGCACAACACTAGAAATATATCACTCAATAGCCTTTCTATGAATATGGATGCATGTACATGTTGATATGAATGAAATAAACAAGTACATATGATTTGCTTTGCATTCATAAATACCTAAGACAGTTAACGCATTCCTATTGGTCGAGAGCCCGTCACGTGGCCGGTCTTAAACGGATGATAAAGACATGGCTAGCTGGTCTTAAACACTTTTCCAGTGTCACAATAAAATGTGGACTCCAAAAAATCCAGTGCCTCTTATCGTTTCATTGGTTGAACGTTCACAATCCTCACGTAGGCATGCGCAACACTACCACGGAGTCAGAATTTTATAGTTCTAAATTCAACGCGCCAGGTGCGTTCTGCGCGACATCGCGCAGAACATGATACGCGCGCGTCAATCTCCATAAAAGGGTTGTTTACATCTTACTCGCCAGCTGAACACTCCATTATTTTGCAAGAGGGATGTTTCAAAAAGCATAAAAACAAAATCGGGATGTTTAAAACGAATTATATGATTTTTTCTTACCGAAAAGGTATTTATGAATGGGAATAAATATGTGCTCCGTCGGTATTTATCACTCTGTTTAAGACCACTTAGAGTCTGGGTGCTGATAATTACCCTCGCCTCCGGCTCGGGTAATTATCAGCACCCAGACTGTAAGTGGTCTTAAACAGAGTGATAAAAACCTCCGAAGCACACATTTATTCCCTTAATAATAAACCATTGCTGTATATTCATTTAATCTTTAAACAAAATTTATGAAGTCCACTTAAAATGTCAAAAGTTAAGAGCATTGATGTGTATAGACTATGGTACTTTTTCCTTTTTTATTGTAAATAAACAATTTGAACGTATTTGCCGTGTTGTTCAAGTATGGCAATTAACGTGCAAAGAGTAGTTGACTTCGGTTGGTTATGTCCTGTCAACCCAAATGCCTGTCTTGTCAAATTCAGGAGATACACTTTATTCAAGCATGCAAATTTGAATTCAATTTTCATTTGTAGTGACAATCAAATGACAGAACATTTGTATATCTGACTATAGGTGTGATATACTGGCCCAGAACCAATAGTCAGCTGGCTTATGGTATAAAAAAAAGCATTTCCCATGTGCAATTCTTTAAAAATAACAGGGATCATTAACGAAACACTAATTTAAGAACCTAAATCCACTTGATGCCATTTTTTATTTGTAGAAGACTACAATTGAATACCCATTTCTCCTGGTCTTTTGGGGGGTGGGGTGAGCGTTCGAAAAAAAGTTGGAGAAATAAGCTCAAAAGGAGAGTTATATACATGTACTTGTTATACCTCTGTCTTGAATACTGTATTTTCATTGGCCTAGAATGATCACATGTTAAGTTTATAAAAAGTCATGGCACACTCCCCGTGGGATATCACGTACGTGAGGCAGGAGTGTGCTATGATTTGACGTACGGTACGTATACGGTGTGAAACGCTTCTATCGTTGGTACCCACGCTATTTTCACCATGTTTTTACACATGAGTGAGAGCAGAAGATCAGCTGTTTCAAGCACACAACATGCATGTGAGTTGCAGTTTGATAGTCATGATTGTTGTGTTTTTACCACTATTTGTTTTACCACTATTTGTTTTTGTTATTTTTACATCAAAATCCAAAGAATCCAAGACAGAGGTATAACAAAACAATTGTTGACTGCTGTGACGTGGGATATGTTTTTAACCCCCCTCGAGGCGCATAGCACCCTCGGCTTTCGGGTGCTATACGCCCCTTTGGTGTTCAAATTACTTAAAAACGTCATATCCCACATCACAGCAGTCAACAATTGTTAAATGTATTAAGAAAAAAGTCTGAAGACCCTGAATGGGTGGAGACATTAAACAACTTGAAAAGATGCAACGAAGAGCTGCCCGCTTAATTACTGGGGACTTCTCCAAAAGGACAAGTGTCACCCAACCTGTAACATCTTTGGAGTGGAGCAGTCTACAGGAGCGAAGGCGTGCCAACCTGTCTTTATAATATCGTCAAAGGGGACATTGATATCAATCACCAACATTACCTATAGCTGAAACCACCTCGCTCAAGAAAGGGACACGACATGCAATTTCAGATTCCATCCATAAAAACAAATAAGGGACCAAAAAAAAGAAAGAAATGAATAAATTTGATGTAACGATCAAATTCTGTGTAAATATCATGTGTCAAATGAACATATACTACTTTGAGGTACATTTACAGATGCATGGTAGAATAAACCCTCTTTTTTTTGCTGATTTCAGACCAAAACAAAACAAATTTGGCCTTCTATGTTATTCACTCTTTTCCTCCCACATGTATAATCCTTAAAAAATTATGAGACATGTAGCTGGAAGTTCTTAAGACCGGCGCACACCTCTCTGATTTTAGCGGTTCACCAGATCATCGGGCCATCGTGCAGGGATCGATCTGACTGTAGACCGGGCGACCGGATGAAATCAAACATGTTTGATTGCTATCGCATCCGATGTCATATCGGAAAGTGTGCGGGCTGCATTTTAATTTCATCGGATGTGATATTTATGTTAACCAATCAGATTCACGAAGGAAGTCGCATGATTCAAAATTGACGGCTGCAATTTTGTCATGTGACTGATTATAGAATGGAACTAGGCATGTGCGCGGGTAACGTTGCGGTTTAACCTTAATGGTGAAAAACACGTACCGGTACCGGTGATGGGGTGATCCCGTGAACCAGTAGAATTAGAAAAGTGTGCGCTGGGATGGGCTTTAGGAATACTAATGAGCTTTGTAAGTTTGTTAATTTAATTTCTTCAAAAATCAAAATTTGGGCCAAATTGTTGTTTTTTGGTTATGTGACAGATGTGCCCCCTTTTTAGACAAAATGTTGTGGAATGCCCCTAAAGGGAAAGAATAAGTTTTGGCTTGACATGTAAACATTCTGCCTACCCCCATTCACATGTATTGGATGCAAAAAGCCACACTGAGATTGCCTGTTACAGCTAGAATGTTTTATTTTCACCTTTTGCACCCCACTTTTGTAAAAATGTGGTCCCAGCCCCAAAGAGTTGAAATGATTGAAACATAGTTTCCTCAAGCAGTCAAGATGTAGCACTCAAGTCAGTTTTAATGTCTTGACCCTGCCCTTAGAAGGTCAGGGGGGAAATGGCATCAATTGGTTTTGCACTTGATGAGGTATCCATAGATGAGAGTTTAAAAAAGGTTAAACCCAAAATTGCATTTGGGCCCCATCACAAGCCCACTGACTGCAACTTCTTGTTGAAATTTGCATTTCATTCCTGCATGCTTGATGATAGCCTACTTCATGTGAATGTCCATTGTGCACTGTTGTTTGAACTGTTTGAAATCATGTTTCAAATGATGTAAAGTATTGACCAGGGCAAATACATTGACTATACTTTAAGATTGTCAGTAGAAATGTCAGCCTATTACCTTTTGGGGCTAGTTTGTCTGACAGCCTCTACATGGTATTTTACAATTGATATTAATATAATCATTTCGTAGGATTGCTTGCTAACCACATTTCAAAGGTCTTGGTCACAAGAAATCCACAGAATGTCTCACATTTATGGTGAAATGTTCACGAGTAAATACGATGCATTTTAGGAAACTATACTAGATACACTGAGAAACAGCAAAGATTGAAGCCATCAACTGCCCTTTATGTAACACATTTTTATTATCAAAATGAACAAAAACAGCATTTTTGAAAATGTTAAATAAATTAGGACAGATGTTTGCAGATGGTTTGATCAAAGGCACAACATTCCTTTACCGCATATACCAGAAAGTTCAACTTCCTGGAATGAGCCTTGTACATGTATACCAGCACTACGGAAAGTTCGAAATACTGTACAGTACTTGAAATCTTTTGAAGGCACTTTTTTACAATACAAAATTTAAATCAGTTAAATTTTTGACATCTAAATAGATACATATACTGAAATCTGTCATGTACCTTTTATACATATACATAAGTGATATCCGCTATATTTAATTCTTGTTTTAATTTAATGAAGTTACCCAGGAAAATCAAATGCTCAGTGCAAGAATCACTGAGGTAGATGGTAGTAACCGAACTTTTTAAAAGTAACACCACACCGTTTGGACAAGCTAGCTATTTTATATTAGTTCCATTGCAGAATTTGCTGTGTCAATATTTCATCAATATTATTGTGACATGCAAAACCATTCCTTTCATTCATTGCTCTCCAAGTATACCACGTACAAGTGCTTGACCATGCTGACCACTCGCACTAAAAATCTACTGCTCTGATTCATGTACCAATCTCCTATGCATTAACCGCCTAATGCTACACATGCATGTCACTTTCTTGGATCAAGTTCATGTATTTGATTGCCTATTGAGTTCAGGCTATCCACCAATAAATAGACGATCTATTGTGATTGTAAATAAAGGACACTCCCTTGGGAGTTGCATATGAATGATGGTCCGTGCACAAATACCTCCCTCAACGGTTTAGAGAGAGTTGAACACAATGCCAATGACGTCTGGCACTCACAAGAAGATGCTATGGCTTTGTGCACATTCAGAATCAAAGGAATTGTGCATACATTGTGTCATAATGTCAGTGAATGAGTACAAGCATTACATTCACTGTGTGGACTTCCGAACAAAAGAGGTCCACATAAACCAGGTAGCAGCGACGTTGTGTGGACTTGCCCACGTCCATACAGTGTTTTCCCCTCTCTGGAAAACAGGTTTAGAGGCAGTTTTGGGTTAGGTTTATCTGTGGCAAAATGAAGAGAAACACTAAAGGGAATCATAGAAAACAAATTGGGTTGAAAGACTTTTCACAGTGTGAGCAAAATATTTTTTTCACAGGTTTTTCTTAACTACACGAAAACAAAGTAATGTCCACACTACGTATGTAACGTAAACATGCGTGTGTATAAACCAGTACACACACACAGTGTGTCCCTCATGCTACCAGAAAGTTGTCACACAAAGCACCATGTACTGTATGTGAATGAAGTCCACATGACCAGGACAACTAGTAATTGCTTCGATCCACTCTAGAACTCAAACACCTCAGAATTACAGTCATTGTTGAAAGTATAAAATTCAATGTTGGGTTTTGCCCTTATCACCAACGTATTTTTGTAAATAGTGTATACCGAGTGTTGTCCGAGGGCTTGAAAAAATACGTTGATGAGGGGCAAAACCCTTATTTAGGCATAAGGAAGGTTTTTAAATATGTGAAATTTATTCTATACATAATTATAGTACATGTACATAGCCAGCTAATTTCATTTTATTATTCCACTTGCACGCAAATCCTTGAGTGGCACAGATGCTTTTAAAAATGAATACACAAATTTGGACTGAATATATGCATGATAAATAAGGTGAACATGAGTGATATGGTAAACCTAGCTTGGTTAGAGCTCAAGATGATCCATAACTTTTACTTTACCAGAGCAGCCGCAATGCCCAAGCAAAATTGAATGTTCCAAGGAGCACAATCAAATGCAATTTTTAGCTTCTGACAATGACTGAAAAAGTACATATATACACAGCAATCAACGTAGCAACCAGAGGTCCGTGTGCACTTACATGCAGGTATGTCTGCTTGGCATAGTGTTCTAACATTCAGGCAAATGATTTTTCAGACTTTTGTCTGATATCAGACTTTTTGAATCGGAGAGAAAGACATTATCAGTATAGAAAGAAATACATCTTCCTGACATTTCAGCAATTTTCAGACTTTTTTTTATTAATTGTCAATCTCATCCCTGAACGTAATTGATGTGGGTATGTGTACTAGCATTACATGAAGGGGTGGTTTGGAAAGGTTCCAATAAATTTCCCAATAAAATATAACAATTGCCAATTGAAACAAAAGTACATTCATATTGGAAATTGGTTTAATTATTCAGACTTCTTTCAAAATGTGCAGAAACAAATATTGCCTGCTTGGATGTCCTGAGCGGGCTAGTTTTACCATATCAATTGAAAGTAAATAGCTGTGTTGGCATTGGACTGGTATGGTAAAATAACAGACTTGTCCACTTTATAGAGACTGTTGTCACCTTAAACAAATTAAATCCAGTGTCAACTGTCGATTGTACGTGTTTGGCGGACTGCAGCAGTAAGTTTTACATTAGTAAGTTATTTGGATCTCAGAAAAATTACATTCTTAGTTTCACATTACCTTCTGCATAGGTTATTGACCTTTGTAATTCACAAGTGTAGGCGTACATACTGTTACATACTGTACACTTGATTCGAATGTTTTTATGCTGCATTTTGCAATGTTATCGGGCCTACAACCACATCCAGTAGTAGGTTACGAGGTCAATAGAAGGGCGCCCTCATAAGATTCTGAAAGAGCACGGTAAGGTAAAGTTTACGCAATGAATGACTTTCTTTTGCAGACGTACGGTAGACTAACCAAAATGGAATTTTAACAAATACTCGCAGTAACATTTGGCAAAATTAAGTCCAATGCGAGCATGGCTACTATTGATATACAATACTGACAAATATGTTCATGTTAGTGTTGCAGCCAAGTCCTCTTAAAGGTGGAGTAGATCATTTGCAGCTATCCAAAAAGTAACTGACAAAATTACTGTTGAAAAGTTTACTTGGTTTAAAGATAGTAATGACATTAAGCTCCTTGTGAAACAATTCCTTCTGGCATACTGTCACTTTGAAGAAAACAAGAAGGCCCTTTCCAAAGATGCCTCTACTGACGCTTTTTTGGATATTTCCGTATTGGTTGGTTTGTAACTCGGCGAATCCGTATATGGGTGCGCACAAACGTTGACACACATGCGGTCGCACGTGCTCCGCTTTGTCTGTTCAGTGCGTGAGCGTAGCTGCAATCAGCTGAATGAGAACATGTCCAGGACATTGATTTCAGGCACAATTCAAAACATGAAGCTGCAACTTTTGTATTGAAACCTAGATCTTAAAATGTTGTTTTCTCAGAATGTACAGCATTCACAGAGCTAAAAGTTCATCAGGTTAGAGTTAAGTACCTGTCTTTAGATTTTTATCACTTTTGTTCAAACGAAATAAATGCACAAATAACAAATGATATACCCTACCTTTAATCCACACAGGTAACTGAAATAAGCCTAAAAACAATACAGTCTAAGTAACTGGGCTGTACATTGTGCGGATATAGACTCTGATGGGGACAAAAATGCATGTCAAAATTCTGCAGTAATTGATAAAGGGAAATATATGTGTGTCCAAAGCTGATATTCTTCCTCCACCGATGTATATTTTAGTACGGTACATGTACTGGGGACTCAAAGAAAGGATTTAACTAAAACACTACCATGATACACCGAGCGCAGTGAGAGGTCACGATATATCTCTATTGATGGTTAGTCCTCTTTCATCTTCCAAGATTGTCTCAACACGTGATCTCTGGGGACAAAAAAGGAACCAAAAATAAAAAGTTAACATATGGGTTATGCTTATACAGTGAAGGGCTACAGGTGCATCTTCAGCAAAGATATTACAACACTGAATGCGACGGCATTAAAAAGGGTTCATATCTTGTTTTAACGTTTCATCCCTTTTGTCACGTCAAACTGCACTGATCAGTGCTGTTATGATCAATCCTCAGTATTATTGGTAGACAGTTTTGCAACACTTGTTGAGGAATTTTCTGGACGTGGAGAGAAACCGTAACTCAACTAATATAGAGGACTGAGACACAATCGCTAGGTGGTCTGTAACCTAGTCATCCCAAAGTTTCAGTAATGTTTGTACCACCTATTCACCATGCACTGGTGACAACCATTCAATCATTTAGAGCTGAAGGGACAACCTGGATAGGATATGAAACATCTCACAAAGTGTGTAGAAATATTCCATCGCTTGTTTCTGGACTACTTTCTTCCTTACAAAACTGCTGTGGACTGATAAAAGTAAGCATAGTTCCCCAGCTGTTCCCTTCAACAATACAGACACACTCCATTTTCTCACAGTTAGTTTTTACGTGTTTCATTTGTATAGCAAAAAAGATATTAACTCAAAATCCAAATGCCTAATCCCTAGCATAATTGATAGACACAATGTACCTGTAGCTTGTCTAGTTCATCACCAGGGCTATTCCTATCCGGTACTGGAGGCACCATTGCTTGCAGTCTTACTGCCTTGATTGCTGTGGGTTGACATGAGATTAAATGCTTCACTTCTTGGGCCTACAAACACAAACATACAAGGCAAAACAATGAGGTAGTTGGTACGAATAAATCCATGAAATAAACTTAAAGCACTAAAGGAAATGTCTAGCATGGCCAATAGGACCTACTCACTCTGTTATTTTGGTATCTGAGCCTCATAACTCGTAGTCTGTTTCTGGCTTCTGCTGCCCTGTACAGTGAACATATAAATTGGAATAAAACAATGATATTAATATTAGTCTGACTCGGACATATCTTTTCCTACCATGTCTAAGCACCGTCAGTATCAGAATTTTCAATAATCAAAATATCAGAATTTTCAATATTGAGAATATTCGATATATCGATTATCCCATGTAAAAATCAAAGACCATAAAAATAGCACTTATATTTTTTTGAGCAATCTTAAGTCCCAATTTTCCACGGCTTTATCTAGTGCATATTGCTCAAACTTTTTAATCTCAACACTGACATTTTGTCCAGAACGGGCGGTTTCTTTTGAGGTTTTACATTAGGGAGACCATGAATGCCAGCGAATGCAAAGCAACACAGATTGGCATTTCACGATTGGGGATGAGATTGTCAATTGAAAAAAGTCTGAAAATTGATGAAATGCCTGAAAAATGCATATCTTTCTGTATTAATAATGTCTTTCTCTCAGATTAAAAAAAGTCTGATTTCAGACAAAAGTCTGAAAAATTTTGTGCCTGCACGATGTTTTTATTTTAGTCGCAAGCACAAGTTGCTACTGAGATCTATTTTATTATACAGCAAATGTTAAACACAAAGTGAAAGCACAAATGGGAGATTTCTTTGTCAATACTCTGATGCATATTCAATATTTTTGATATCATTTCTCAATATTACAAATTTCAAGTATTTCGATATGATACAAAAAATCACTATCTGCGATATTGATTTCATAATAATATCGAATAATCAAGTAATATTGATATATCAACGGTGCTTAACTGTGTCCTTCTTGCACGTCCACTATGAACTGGGTTCTTTCAGCTGTCAGAAACACTCCTAGACATGTAATGTAGTTTGTTTTCTCTGTAATGTCATCAATTTCAATTTGTCTTGCCTTTGACCAAAATGATGACTTTTGTGGAACTTGCCATTAAATGTAGTATTACATGAAGATCAAGCACAAAACGGAGCATGAGAATAAGGCAGCAATGAAACATATAATAGCAATGTTATAACATGCCTTGAAAGAACACAAATAATCCTCTATATGAGCATAATGTCACGCATATCATTCTGGACTTTATGAACTTTCTTTTCCAACTTTTTACAACAAATTGTTTTGATTGCTATCTTAATTGTGATTGTAACTTACTTGAGCTGGCCAATCAGCTGACTGTGTTTTTCCTTCTCTAGATCTACCTGAGTAGCTTGTTTGCTTTTCAATGCATCAGCTTTTTTCTGCTCTAGTATTCTCTTCTGAGAACTCTCCATTGCTTCTGATGAATGCTTCGGTGGATCTTCATACTACAAAGTACAGAAGGAGTATACATATATCATTGAAATTACAAAGTCAATAGTTTGTTACCTATAGCAAAGAGGCCTGTGGATCGCACCACCATTCTAGGTCTTGGGCATGCTATTGCGACGTCAGCTCAGCTGTCATTGTTCTGGTTCACTCTGGTTCGCACTCTGATGTCTTCACACACCTAAGCCTTATTAATGGCGTACTTTGGTACTCTATGATAGCAATATTGAGGCAATAGTGAGGCAACCTGAATGTGTTGTTCTGTGCAGTTAGACAGGTGTCGGTGCACTCTCAATTGCAGGGGTCCTAAAGATTGAGCATGCTTGGAAGTCATTGAGTAAACAACAGACAACTCCAAAGTGAACGTTTCAGTACGGAATGAAAAAACTGTTATAAACAGAAAATGAGAGATTGCATTTAATCTAGGCTTAATCACAGACTGACATGCTTCATTTCATTACAAGTAGATCACTTACAGTTAATACTTACAGCAAGGTATTTACTTCTATGTGTAGGATCCATTTGACTCAACTCTTTTGCTGTTAGTTTCTTGCGATTTTGACGTCGAAACTTTGTTCCTCTTCCCGCTGGTTCATCATTCTGATATGACACAAATAATCAACAAGTTATTCTCACCAATCAACAGAGGCTGCAATATAACTGTACACCATGCAACCCATGTAGGCCTTCTATATCCTCGATCCTCCTATTTCTGTGCACCTAAGGCTTTGCAACCAAGTAGCTTAAAAATAGCAAAGCAACCACTCTTTTCCTCAACAAAACTTATATTGTTGGCTTTTGATCATCCACCATACCGATTAACAAAGCGAAATCTGTGCGTGACTTCACTCACGAAAAAAAAAACCAAGTCGCGCTGAATCAACGACTGTTTCGTGTACTGATATGTGCCCTGTGCCAAAAGCCCATACTGTCATACGGCACGGGGCATATCGGTACACAAAACAGTCGTTGATTCAGCGTGACTTGTTTGTCTTCGCTAGTGAAGTCACACACGCGCTCAACGATCGATCAGCTCAGCCAAGAAATGGATGGCACAACTCGGCAGACACATTTAATTACGAGCGGTAAGTTTATCAGAATTTTTTTTTTTTTTTTTCAAAATTACCGCTTGTTGGAAACAATTTAAGGTGTCTAATGGAATGTCATGAATGTGTGGATCTATCCAGGGTAGCCCTAGTCTATGGCCTGCACTGAGTAGACTCTACATGCACTCTACATGCATGTAGAGTCTACTCAGTGCGGGCCATAGACTAGGGCTAATCCAGGGTAACTGTCTTTCTCATTTGTGTTCTCTTTACCAGTTTTTTGGGGCATTTTGTCCTCAAGGGTATGCAGAAAATTGCACACCGTGTGTCAGGGCTCTAAATGTGTAGTCAAAGTATGCCTATTCAGTGCAGCGCTAGTAAGGGTACCGAAGTTCCAGCGCTCCACTCAGTACTACAGTAGAGCTACCATGATCAAAGTACTACAGTCGTTTTCCTGGTTCAGGATTTTTCCTAGTTCCGGATAGCTTCAAATAAAAACCTACCTCTTTTGGATTAGTCTCCAATATTTTGTTTTTCTGACAAAGTGCATTTTGAAAAGGAAAATGTTAGCTTCTTGATACAAGAAGATCTTTTCGATAAATCCTTAGAAGAGGAATTTTGGCCAGATTTCCGACTCGCACTTTGATATGTTTGGACGGTTTGTAGAAAATTGCGGGAGCTGCGAATTTATGAAAAAAGATTTCCTCGGTACATCACTCGAACCGTGTGATTTCGAATATTTTGTTCATACACTACAGTCGTATAAACTCTTCCATCAAATGTTTGTTGAATCAAAATAAGTTGTAGAGTCTCTAATTTTTGAAAATTCGCCAAAGATCAATGACCGTATGCATTTGCCTAGTTCTGGATAGCGCGTGTACTTATTCGTCCCTTACGACCCAACTGCACGCTCGTTAATCGATTCTGTGTGACATATTCTTATTCTGTGTGCTGTGTCAAATGTTTTCCGTGTGTGTGTACATAATTCATCGCACGCGTGTGTGACATCACTATTGAAGAAAAACAAGTCGGCCTTAATCAACAGATTTTTGTTACGTTTTACCTCGTTACAGAAGCTTATTTCAAGCCTACATTTTCTATGTGTCCTTATCTATTGATCCGGGGGGTTCAGGAATTCCATATGTGATGCTGACCGACGTTAATCAGGAAAATAAACTCTAAAGCAACGTTAAACTTGTACGCTTTTGTAGTCTCTTTTCATTAGTTTATCACAGAGTCGTAACGTCATGTCCTACGTGCATATGAAAGCGCGCACGCACGCTAGCGCCCTCCTTTGTTTAGTTTTGGTTGGAACAGTGACGTCACTCCAGCACACCGACGTCACGAAAACGCTCAACCAATGACCAAAGCTGAAACATGTTTCTGGTAACTGGCGCGAAAACACGCTTGGTCACTGGATAAGCAACCGCACCTTCAAGTTTATGCATAATTATGAGGGCGGTTACTAAGCAAATCGCTCATGCGCACTGCGCGTTCATGTTGCACGGCCGTATGCCGTGTACGAACTCGGTCATTGTACGTGTGAGAAACTGATGAAACGAGTCTACAAAAAGTGTCAAGTTTAACGTTGCTTTAAGACTTTATTTTCCTGATTAACGTCGGTCAGCATCGCAACGCATATGGAATTCCTGAACCCCCTGGATCAATAGATAAGGACACATAGAATACTAAGACGTATAAATTAGCTTCTCCGGCCCTATTGAAAATATTGGTCATCAATTTTTTCGCCCGGTTTTGAGCACTTCATACCCTGGACTCCCTCCGTAACGTAGGGAGGAAAGGGAGTCCACCTGCGCCGGCTAGCGCTCCACTCAGACTCAGTAGAGCTAATCCGGAACTAGCCCCACTAGTGTGGCCGCGGTATGCTGCGCTGAACCTCTGAGGTTCAGCGCAGCATACCGCGGCCACACTAGTGGGGCTAATCCGGAACTAGCATGACAAGGTAAACGACTGTAGCTGTAGGCCTATAAAAGTATAATAAATAATCCAAGATAAAAGTTGTAACCCGTCACTGTGCATGTAAATCTTACCTTGTCTCCCATGTTGTTGTTGTTTTTAACAGTACTAGATTTGATGCAAACTTCTTGAACGTCTCAAATGTTGATTATTGATGTCCAACGTTGCTGTCACTCGTACTCGCACCTCATGCCAGCATCAACGAACAAGACTATCACTATCAGTATCATTCATCATGCACAAATTTTTACAAGTCGATTACGCGTGTTGCTATCGTACCGTACTACCCAGACGACACGAGGGTATTGGACACGAAAACACATTGATGCGCCATACTATTAATAGCACTGACATAGTAACAAACAACAGGTGGCGCCCTGCTACTAGGCACCCGGCCCGCACTTCAAAAAAGAGGCGGAACAAGGGGGGGGGGGGGCTAGGGCGGGAAATACTTAGAACCTTCATAGGGGATTGATAGTCACTAATCAAATTAGCCTTGGTCAAGGTGCTAGTTGTTATTTATCCGGCCGTAACGCCGTAAACGATATCTTCGCTAGCGCTATGCATGCAGTCATTATGTCTATGCATGCAGTGCATTAAAAATACAGCGCGAACAGCGACCTCACGGCCACTATTTTCATGCAAATCAGTTGGACCCAATTTAGCGCCTTGGTTCAATCGTCCATGTGAGGTTTTGGGGGTGGTGCTCATTATGTTAATAGCCTTAGCTGACCTTAAATGTCGTTTTCTTATTGGTCGATCGTTGCGTGGAAACTTGCATAGTGAAACGTGGCACCGTACATAATCCATACACGTACACGTTGTGTGTCTCTGCACACGGCACCAATGCACAAAAACTGTGGTTCCTGTCACGTCCGCAAAAGGCGAATAGCTGCAAATAATTTGATGACGTCCGGATTTACCAAGGTGTGATTGGACACTCCACATATTAGCCCCGCCTACACTTATCTGCATTCGTTTCCGAAGTCGTGCGCTAGAAATCCAGCGCAAAATAAAGAAAAACATAAGCTTTTGCCGACGATTGAACCAAGGCGCTAGATTGGGTCCAACTGATTTGCATAGAAATGGTGGCCGCGTGAGGTCGCTGTTCGCGCTGTATTTGTAATGCACCGCATGCATAGCGCTAGCAAAGATATCGTTTAACGCGCTACGGCCGGGATGAATAACAACTAGCGCCTTGACCAAGGCTATCATCAAATATCAAATTAAAGCTTGATTCAATCTCTTTCAATTTCTGTACATATTTTTTAAAGACGAGCTAGGCAATGACATTTCTGTGACTTTCCCCGGCCCTAATCGCTTCTTTTCCCCTCATGACTGCATCGATGGCATCTGTTTGGCAGCTAGTAAATCAAAATTCAGTGAAGAAGTTCAATAACTAAACGTCGGTTGATACAGCGGCGTACCTGGCTTTGATGTCGGGGGGGGGGGGCAACCGCACTGAACATCAGCGCCGAAGTTTTTTTTGTTCCAGACACTTGGCCTCCGTAAAATCAAGTAAAGCAAACAGCGGGGGGGGGGGGGGGGCTGGAAAATAGCAGCTGATATAAACAAGTTTTCAGAGGTAAAACTGTTCTTACACTCTTCGCAAAAGCGAACGCGAATTTGTGGCGTCATGGCAAGTATTCGCGCCGCGAATTCGTAAAAAATTAATATTTCAACTCGGGCGAATTTCGCAGCGAATGTTTCATGACGTCAAGTTCGCTTCGCATTCGCATGAAGAATGAACCGGGGGTTTAATTGGACGTCATGACACATTTATTTCGAAATCCGTCTATAGATACGAGTCAACTTTTGCGTAGTTCGCAGCGCCAAAAACTTGTCACGGCTACATTGTAATAATACTTCCCTGTGCTGTCAAATTTCACCCCAAAAATATAATAGTTTTTAAATTGCGATTTTTTTTCAATTTATGAAAGTTTTCAAACAAATCATTAAAAGAAACTGACTGCATTAAAAAAAAAAAATTTCAAAGCTGAACCAAGATATTGACTGGAGCGGGATTTAAACCTGTGACCTCCGGATAACCATTCCTGTGCCCTACCAACTGAGCTATCCAGCCCCGTTATTGGCGGTTCCCCAATTTGTCAATATCCTTGTTCAAGGGGCGCTAGCTAGAAGCCATATAGTGATGAGGCGTTTTGGCAAACGCCCGTAAAATAACATCACGGCCATGCAAGCCCGACTCATAAGCTTTCTTTTAGTACAAAAATCAATCAAATCACTCATGTACTTTTCAAGTTACGGAATTGTAAACACAAACACTGTTTGAAGTTCTGTCCATCGTCGCTGTTCACAAAAAAAGGTTGCAAAATAAAAACATTTGCTGAAATAACACCTTTTTTCTGATCCGTGGACAGAACTTCAAAACGGTGTTTGTGTTTAAAATGTTGTAACTTGAAAAGTACATGTGATTTAAATGATATTTGTACTAAAAGAAAGCTTATGGATATTCTAGATTTATGTTACACGGCAGGTATTAACGATTTATGCAAATTGGGCATATTTAAGATCACAATAAATAATGGCATCCACCCGCATCTTGTTTTTATGGTTCAGTGCATGGATGCCAGCTATTACCAAAAATTGGCGTGAATTTGTTTCTAGAGGATTTTTCCACATTATCGTTAGCACTTATATGGAATTTGGTAGGTAGCAGGTTTTCCCAGATATACTTTAACACTTGTATCTTATAAAGTTCCTGAAACGACCCTTAACATCGTTCGTCTCCATTGTAATTACCCAACAGCTTTCAATTTGAAAACAGTGTAATCCAATAACGTTCTTTAATATTCGGCCAATTGTCAAAAAGCTAATTCGTTGTGGTTTTTGAACAATGCTTCTTACAATTAAATGAAATCTTTACCTTCTTCTGTTTGCCCCTTTTTTTTCGAATGAAAAGAAATCAAAGTAAAAATTCATGGATCTATTGTTTAATGCTAGTTTTCATCTAAATATCAGTGAACACAATGAAAGAATATTAATGGTAAAATACCCTTAGTAACGGAAGATCAGTAGAAAAGTAATGTGCTTGAATATTCAAAGAACAAAACCGTTCCCTTTCAGTTTGCAACAAAATTAATGACAAAAGTGTTTAAATGAATGACATGAAATCACAATATTGCCTCTGACACACCCCTAATCTTCAAATGAGACAAATTCGCAAAAATGAGACGAATGAGAATACTTCATTCATACAATACACTGCTCGCAAAATGAAATTGTTTAGTGCAAATTTGAAATTGAAATGAACAATTGGGCCAAATCATGTTGTGGAACGCATTTTTAAGTACTTTTTCATCAAATTTATATCATATATGAAGAAAATTAAATGAACCACACTCTGCATTCACACAAAAATATGACTGAAGATCATTTATTGGGATTCATGTAATCATATGGCACTTAAAATACAAAAACCAGTGAGAACTACAATGTAATAAGACAACTAAAACTTATGTGCGAGTTGCTTGAAATCGGAATAAAACAATGGCCCTTTACTTAATTCAAAAGTAGGTCAGGCATGAGAATTGTGCATCAATGACATTAATCCTAACAGTCCTAAATCTTCCAATATACCACACACCCTTGGGGGTTAGGATTAATAAGTACTGTCTGATAGTAGAAGGGGTGACTTTATAGATATTTTTGTCAGGGTCTAGAGAGTTCTGGTTTATCTTAGAACTGGGTCCACCCACTGAATTCCCTTCGCTATTTTCCATGCATCTATTTTATTATTTCAGGTACTGCTTATATTTCGAATGGTTTGCTTGCCAAGATGAATCTACCCTCCCAACACACTGCTTATTCATCTGAAGTAGCTCAGATGTGTTAATCACCCGGCAGGTACAGACTCATCAAGCCACAACATCTACAAGCCCTGATTGAAATGGCATATAACCATGCATGTATGGCATCTTGAATATAAGAATGTGTGAAACATGCCAACAAACAAGCAACCACCCTAGTAATGACAGACCAGTCACACATGGCTTTCACTATCACAGATTGATATACAAAAGGAATAGTGCCGTTTACTTCAGTCACCCTTTGCATGTGGTCTGAAAATCAAGCCCAAAGAACAGTGTTTTATGATCGATTCATCCAACAAGGTTCTGTATGTAACCCTCAATACTATGATCCAGATGCAAATTTATATTTCAGAAGTGATTTCTCAAAAATAACGTTTCATATTTACACCTTGGAGACATCTAAAATGCTTCTTTAATTGGTAAGATCCTACCATAAAATTAAAACATGTTGGATAGATCTCTTTTCAGTGTTCAGTGTGCAGCTTTGTCAACTACAGGGTGAGTAAACAAAAGCAGAACCCAAACCCCCAAAATTAAAATGTCATATTTAGAAAAATATGTACAATGTAGCACCAAAAATAATGACAGGAAAGCCAATTTCATATGCTACTTTTAGATAAAAAAATACTGAAATTGCTCAACCAATTCAAAGAATATCACAAAGGCAATGACCCTACAACCTGTTCCATCCAGGAAAAGCAATTCATTGTGTATTTTGACTGTTTGGCACAACAAAGAAAAAAACAAAAAAAAATACTTGTTTCAACAACTGTCAACAACTGTAGTACACAATATCTTTATTACAATATATCTTTATTACAATACTGTAGTACACAATATCTTTATAACAATATCCTAACCCTGGTTAGGCCATCAATACAATTTATAAATCCTTTTTTTTTTAAAGACAGGCCTTCAAAAGGACTTTGTTGAATATTTTTAACTTTTAAACTGAGGTTTTATCGCTGGTGATGTTTGAAGACAATTGTGGGTCATTGTGTTAAATGGTGATAATCTTTGAACAGATTTGAGCAATTTCAGTAATTGTTTTCATCTAAAAGTAGCTTATGAAATTGGCTTTCCAGTCATTATTATTGTTGGTGCTACATATTTTTTTTAAATATGAAATAACATTTATGGGGTTTGGGTTCTGCTTGTTTTTTTACTCACCCTGTACACGCACCAATAGTTAGGAGAGGGTTAAACAAATCATTGCTTTTATTCACATGATAGAAAAGCAACCAAAACAAACCTTCACCCAAACTAGAAGCAATCTGCAAGGCAACACACTGTTTCCAATCTAACAACTATTATTCAATCTTCTACATAAACAAATTCTGACAGTAAAACTGATCAAGTTAAGACAATACGTCATAGACATGATATCTTATAAGATACAAAATGCAGAAAGAAAAGAAAGTAATATCCACTTTTGGGAAAATGAAATCACAAAAATAGCATGCTACCTACATCATCTCTATAGGTATCCCCCCCCCCCCCCCCGACACTTCTCAATGTCAATGGCATCCAATTTCCAATCAATAAAAGACTAATGAAACTACTTAGCTATGTTATATAATAATCAGGTTCTTCATCTGTGCATAGGCTCAGTCTAGCTTCCTCTTAGTCTTCATCAAGGACTGTAATGAATGTCTCTTCCTCTTGCTACATCATATCCAGCTAGCATGATAAACATTGGATACAACATACATATAAATCCTTGGCAGTAACAAAGACTTTAGGACAAAAGGAATAAATGAACAGTCAGCTGATCTAAAACCTTAGTCATGGTTTGATCTTGGTGTCTCAGCAAAAGTCTTACATTTCTTTGACAAATGAAAACGTTTGTAAAGAAATAAGCGAAGATTTTTGCGACTGGCCCTCCAACTTTTACTATGAAAAATAAATTATTAAATGCAACAACACCAATGTGAATGAAGTGCCTGTAGCCATGACTATAAATTCATACTGTTGTAAATAATAGAAATATGTATGAACATGAAATAGAAACACCATGAACAGGCCACCTAATAAATATGGTGTCCCCTATGTAATTGCTTCCTTATTGACTGGCTATAGACATATGAATGGTTTACGTTAATAAACTTTAAAAAAAACTTTGGTCCTAGACGTGATGTCATCATATGCAGATGTTCAAGTGAAACTCTAGCAATACAAAAGATTGCTAGACTTTTTGTTTGTTTGCTTTTAGCAAGTCTATACTTGGATCAAAGCGTCAGGCACTCCAACTTTTATGATTTGTTATTTAAATTTCTTCTATTTTAATAGTGCACATCAGGTTAATCAGTGATCAAACACATTAAACAAAAAGCTACAATGAGAATTATAAACAGTTTAGTTCATAATTTGCTCATAAAATCCCTGAATAGTACAGCAATTTATTGACTTAACAGCACCCATGCCATCCGATGCCACAAGTAGAAAAAATAAAAAACGTGTTTACATCATGAAAGGGTGTTAGCAGTTAACAGATCAGGTCCTACATTTATACCGAATACAAAAAGTACTCACCAGATCATCAGCATCTTCAACTGGCTCAGCAGGAGCAACCTCCTCATCCTCTGCAGTTTCTTCAAGAAACTTTTTAAAAAAAAGAAGAAGAGAGATTGGTGTAGCATTTTGTAAATGCATCCTAATCTACTAGTTTCCCCAACACCTTTCACCCCAATTTGTCTTCTTGTTGCAAATTCCTAATGCAATTTCTCAAATTTGACAGGAATGGTACCGGTAGTTGGCCGATATTCTATAAGACGATGTCGTTTGGTTGTGCCGCAGCAACCACAAGAGGGCGCTCTTGTCTATTTTTGTCCAAAACAGTATTTTTGCCATAATTCCTATGATTTTCATCTTATTGCTAACACTTCCAGCAGATATTTCTAGAGTCATAAAATATAAAGTGACAACAAAACAGCTCAATTTCACATTTCTTTGAATGGTACTTGCACCTTCAATAAATTGAAACGTAAAATTCACGTCCTCTCATCACCTTTTACAAAAAGAAAAACAAAGGTTTGTTGGCAGCTACATTTATCTCATAACTCCATTCACAGTCACAACTCGTCATTGTTTCATATTATGGCTGTGGATGGAGGTGTTGTGAGATAAAGGCAGCTGCTGAAAGTACACAGAGTTTATTATGTTTGCAGAAGATTATCAGGAGAACACTGAAGCTAATCCCTTTGATATTTCTATTTTCTGCTGAACCCGAAACTACAAATCAGTTGGACAAAATAATTCTGTACCTGGCTAAACCAAACCCAACCCCAACTTGAAGGTTGACTTGCAGTACTAATGTGATAGCAGCCAGACAATTCCCAGGGGTGGAGGATATATGTCTTTATGACTGGGAAGTTTGTCTAGGATATTTAATTTCAATCATTCACCTTTTTGGCTTCAGCTTTAGGGACAGTACTCTCGTTGCTCTCAGATGAATCTATTAATGTGATTTTCTCTGAAAAGATAAGTGAAATTGGACAATCAATAAATCATACTAATAACTTTTAAAATGCAAGATATAAAGATGCCGTATTAATGGCCAGGAGTAAACGTATGCCCTGCCCACACCTATACCCCGCCCACACATATGCCCCATCCACACGTATGCCCCATCCACACGTATGCCTCACCCACACGTATGCCCCGACCACACATATGTAAGAATAAGTCCTTGTAAAAAAGTAGGGAATATTAATATTTATGGATGAGAGACACCCAAAGAAACATACCTGAAATTATCTGACTCCAAAAGTCTGTTTTGAAGATTTCTTTCAGTTCATCTTTGAGTTTTCTCAAGAAGTTGTTGAAAAGGTCCGGTTCATGAAGCTACAAATGGACAACATGATGGTTGAAATCAAATATATTAAATAGGAATTATCTAGACTACCAATGTAGTCAAAGGCAGACGATGCTTATAGTCATTTCATTTTTGTAATATACAAAGTCTGAAGCACAAACCTTATGTCAGTGCAATGAATTACAATGTCTGAAAAATGTCATCTGGAGAAACTGAAGTCAACACCTTGCTTCTTGCATTTAGATATTCATTAAACAAGTCAGGTGTGTTTACAAACACAAATGCCTCGCAACCGTGACTGTTCCCATGACATGACACCACTCTTTTACATCAACTTACATGTACTTGGGTCACATGGAACGTTCATTGACATCGTTGTTTTCTGTAGGTTATATATGAATTAATCCCTTGATCTCAGAATAAATATAATGCTTTTTATTTTTGCTTTTCTGTTGGGAAGTCATTTTTGTAAGTGATTTAAAAGAGTGAGTGAATGCAAAGAGATCCTGCACAAACAAGCTGAATTAAAAAAAAACCACACAGCTGTACATAAAACGAAATAAAAGATCACATTTCAATTTTTACTTAACAAGATTTCTATTGTTTTAGCCACTGTGACCTTGACCTTTGACCTTTGAGCCAAAATGCAATAGGCTTCTTGGGACTACCAAGAGCAATCCACAAACCAAATTTGAAGTTCATACGTAAAGTATTTCTCAAGTAAACGCGCCGACAAGATTTCTGTTGTTTTAGCCACTGTGACCTTGACCCTTGACCTTTTGGCCCCAAATGCAAGAGGCTTATTAGGATTACAAAGAACAATCCACAAACCAAATTTGAAGTTCATATGTTAAGTATTTCTCAAGTAATTGCGCTGACAAGATTTCTATTGTTTTAGCCACTGTGACCTTGATCTTTGACCTTTCGGGTCTAAATGCAAAAGGCATTACAATGAACAACCATGCACGTCTACAGAGTTTTAATCCTGTATTTCTGGATAACTCTTCGTTCTGACTTGATTAAGCACTTTAAAACTTTGTTATTATTTTAGTTAGAACACACTGGCACTGAATGACAAGGGTTAAATGGACAGAAATATAAAATGACATTGTCTATTATCTGTGATGGGATTACCTGTATAGATGCTGCTCTTAATGTCTTAAGGCAGTCCATGGCCTTGCTGAAGAACTGAGAACCAAATGAATCACGCACCAACTGCCTGATACGATTCTGCATTTGGTCTGACGCTGTTTTGAAAAAAACGAAAAGTGAGTGATTAATCACTTAACATGCCAACTCAATACACCTACTGCAACAAAATGTGAAGGGAAAGGAAATTGATTAAAATGAAATCTAGACTGATGGAACTTACAAATCTGCACTGCATTCAAAGTGTGCCTAACTTATTATTTGTTGGAGATGTGTTTCTAAGGACACCATTCCACAGGATACTGCCATTGTTTTTCTTGATTCTACGTTGAATAGCAACAACATGAATCAGCAAGGAGGTTTTGCCTAGAATTCCCTGCCTGTCATGGACTGCAGTTTACCTTGAGTAAATCTGTCTTGGTCCTTCTGACTGATCATTGTATTGAAGTCTCCAACAGGATCAACTGTGCCCACCTGTAATTGTTTAAAATAACCCAAGACACATATGAATGAAGGACAAATAAGGTGAGCAAATTGCTCAGCCCTTAACGAAGAGTGATTCAAATTATTCCAAATACAGTGAAATATTGATGAAGTCAAATCTCAAGGCAATGGATAAAAAGTTTGAGATATCGGAAGTTCGAGTTGCACAAAGTTCCCAATGTTTCCCAAAAGTTCCCCAAAGTTCCCACATTATGTACAATGTACATGAATGGCTTTCACCGTATCTCAATCTACTTCAAAACAACTTAGAACTCAAAACCAATACCGTCCTTCATTTTCTTCAAAGGACCTCGTACTAAAGTTTAACTATCATTTGGAACGTAATTATGATCCAACATGTTTTAAAAAGCATTCTTGTTCTACTTATATCCATAATGACAAAAGACCTTTGACATTGGGATCAAAGAACCTCAAGCAATTTTTTTTCCTAACAAGCAAAGCTTCAATAACACCAGCAATTATTTGGAATCAACTATAATTTTGGACTCGATGGACATATGAAGTACCTGTGTGACAGCTCCTTTGGCCATACCAGCCATGCTGAAGTCTGTAGTGTCTGCAGCATCATCAAGACGTGGTTTCTTAGCTGCAGGGCCTGCTTCATTTACATCACTGAAATAAGCAATGTAAATGAAAGCTGAACTGTATACATGTGTACCATGCGACCATCCGGTTTCCCCGTTTGGTTAGCAACCACGACGTGCATTGTAAATTGGAGAGTAGGGCTTACATTCATGTAAAATAACCACAGATTCCTTATCCTATGGTAAAATGGTCACTACCTGTGTCGTGTACCGTTGTCATACAATCGTGTCAACACAGAACTGAGTGCTAGCAGTGTTTTTTCTCACAGTAAATGTCATTCATAGTTTTGAAGGCTAACCTACTACCTGCTGTGTGCAGCGCTATGCAATCTGTGCCTACTACATGAACAATTGTTCCTGGGTATCTGGATGTAGGCCAGGTTACGTTGGTCAGTGAGAGAGCCCTATATCACTTGACAGGAAAGATGCGAAATCTACAGTAAAGCCCGGTTCATACTCTGCGCGAAAGCGAACACGAATTTGTGACGTCGTGGCAAGTATTCGCGCTGCGAATTCGTAAAAGTTTAACATATTTCAACTCGGGCAAATTTCGCAACGAATGTTTTATGACGTCAAATTTGCTTCGCATTCGCTTTCGCATGAAGTATGAAACGGGCTTTACAAAGGTAACTGATTGCCTTTGCTAATATTTTGGTATTTGTATATATTTGAATTTGCATTTGCAATTCTGTTTGCTCCCTTAACATTTTGATAGGATGGGCTGACATACGGATACCAGGTCAGCCAATGTGATGAGCCTATCTTACCTGTCTTTCCACATGCTTTCTGCTGATGCTACTTCTTGTTTCTTCACACGTTCCAATTTAAACAACTCTGTGATCTTGTCCACACAAGTGGAGCATTCTACAGACAATGCTGCAGGAGGTTGTAAACACTCAGCGATGGCAGGTGACAAGGCCGGTAAAGCTCCAATAGGATTCAGTGCTCTGTGCATTAAACACTGTCAACAAGAAATGCACAATATTTTATGATTAAAAATTTGCAAAATATCTGACGACAAAAACAATATTGTACAAGGAAATTAAAATGACTTTTTATAATAAATGACAGTTCTTCTTTTTTCTGCCACTTTTTTGTTTGATGTCTCATTCAAAAGTGAAAATAGCACTTCACTAAAGATCTATTTTTTCTGGGCAGCACTTGAAATAGCATGGGGGAGCAACCTTAACTATGGCGTCTGCTGAAGATCCATACCTGGCAGAGTCTTTGATAGTACGGATTGAACGTCAATTTAGGCTTCAATGCCTCCTCCTCCTCCCCATCTTCATTTCTGTCAATTGATAACATTACAAGATGTTATGTTAGTCATTACCTGCAAGGCTACAGGTACTAATTGTATGATGTATCAAAGGTATTTATCCTTATCAAAATTAGTTTACAATACTCTTTCAAGTAAGTTTAGTGTTTAAAACAGAAAGCTTTTCAGTGAACTTCTTTTTTTCAATTTAGAAAATATGAGCTAAGTCCAACTGAACTATCAAGGCTTAATAAAAAAATCTCAGATATTGAAAAGTGTTTTTTTTTCCCACCTAAAAAAAAAAGAACATAAAGGTTCACAGACTGCTTTACATAACATGTCCTTTCGCAATATAAAACCAAAAAGTGATACAGTTTGGGCAATTCCATGCAAACGCAGTAATTATTGTGTAAATTTAGTGATTGGTCATGCATATTTGCATACCCACAACTGAACCAAAGCGCACACATGATGTGTCCTTCCCTGATTGGTTATTGTGAGTAGGACACACAGCGCCCTCTATAGTTCATACAGGGAGGCTACAGGGCTGAGGGATAAGACCAATTAGCTCTCATTTACCGTTGCATGGATGTCTATGATGCTGTCTTTGTGGTCATTTCACTATAGGTCTCATCATACTCAGGATACAATGTCATGTTGGGCATGTAGAGATTACCACATGACCACAAAGATGGCTACAAAGACAGTCCAAAGCTATATCACAGCAACTAAGTGTTTGCATTAGAGAGGCCACTTTTCCAATTGACAGTCAACATCCTTCATACACTATCCATTCTTCACTGTTTATGTGCCACAAAGCACTAGCTAATCCATTTTGAAGCCTCCTAAATAAACTCATGATTATCTACTAACAATTTCCAATTTAAGTCGTACACGGCCCTTTTAAACGTCAAAACTTGACTGTTTCCCCAGAATACGCTTCAAAAGTGGCCTCTCCATGGTATTGGTGCACTGTATTGTGAATTGCTCCTGTTCACAGATCCAATAACATCTTACGTGTTAGCTTTCATGAGATCCATACTGCTAATGAGATTGTCCACAGCATCAAGTTGTTCATCTGTATGAAAAAGAAAAGGTCAAATCATTCAACCGGAATGGAAAGATTACCAGCATTGTGAGATACAAATGTGCAGCTGTGGAAGGTTTGACCTACGTACACAGCTACACTCTGAAATGTCACTTTTCTGATCAGGTTTGTCTTAAATGTAAGGTTACTTTTTTGACAGAGGAGACTTTGCTGCAGACTTTCTGTAAAATGGGGAAATAATAATAAACAATACTTTACATTTAACATTATTGTAATAAAAATTGAAACCTCAACTCACAGTGAATGCATTGTGCATCACCTTAGTCAAGGACAAGACACATGTGTCTCTCCATAACATTTCCTTTGTCAGTGTTCAACCCCTGTAACTTGTGACTAAGCTTGTGCATTGACTTGTGATGTACTTGTACCTCAACTACAACAATGACATTATGCATTTCAATTTTAGCACTCAAGGTCAGGGTTGGCAAATTTTTGGATTATAAACAAAATTTACATCAGAATTTTTTTATTTAGATCAGATTTTCTGATTCAAATAAGATTTTTTAAAAATATTTTAACTTTCAAAATATCGATTTGTCTCAAAAATTGTCTAAGTCTTTCCATGCACCCTTACACCCATCACGAAGGAGTTTTCATGTTCCTATAATACCCATCATCCAAAAACTTAATTCGCTATTCGTAAATTAAAAAAAACAAATGACAGCACTGATCCTTGTGAAACCAATAGAAAGAATGTTTGATTGATAGTCTTTCGTACAAGGTGGAGAATATTATGTTATGAAATCTGGCCTTGCACCTTTAAAGATATTACATAAATCTAAATCTAAATTTTTATGGAGAAAAGTTAGGAATGAGAGTATCAATTGGGACTTTAATAGATACCTTATGATAATTGAGGTATAAGCCTACACAAGCAAAGTTCAGTTCATATTATTACTGTATTAAACAGATCAAGAAATGAGCAAAGTAAGTGTGCTGACTGAACCATTCATTGATATTCTACAAGAACTTAAAATTCAAACTTCAAAAAAAAAAACATACCGGTACTCATACTCAGGGGTGTTTGAATGTGTTAACAACATCTTACACTTAGTAATTAAGTGGAATCCGTTGATTTAAATGTTTAAAATGACCCTCAATCAATTTATTTTGGTGAAAATAAGGTTTTCACAAAAAAAGTGATTTAAATATGTGATTTTAAAAAAAACATCACTTGATTTAAATCGCGATTTAAATCAAAGTGATTTAAATCAGCCAACCCTGCTCAAGGCATACAGCTATGAACATTTTAAATGAAGTACAACTCACCAGATGGCTGATTCTTCTTATTGGCATTGATAGATGAGAATGTATACTGCCTTAAATCCTCCATAAATGGCAGCTCAATGTACAATAAACTCTGCAGGTATGTGAACAAATCAGTATATATCAAATTAGGTTTTTGCCCTTCACCGACGTTTTTAAACACTGTATACTCAGTGTGTTACCTCCCGAGTGAAAGTTGGAAAAAATCACTCGGGTGGGACTCGAACCCACGACCTCCTGTTTTCTAGTGCAGATGTCTTACCACTCGACCACCGAGCTAATGGGATCAGTTGGCTGGTTCGAATCTGATGTACATAGCAGCGGGTACCGCATTAACTATTATAAGATGGAATTTTGCGTCGGGGTGATATAAATCAAATTAGGTTTTTGCCCTTCACCGACGTTTTTAAACACTGTATACTCAGTGTATTACCTCCCGAGTGAAAGTTGGGGGAAAAAAAGTGAAAAACAGTGTTTAAAAACGTCGGTGAAGGTCAAAAACCTAATTTGATTTATATCACCCCGACGCAAAATTCCATCTTATAATAAATCAGTATATGTAAATAGTTGAAGCCTAAATGACGACATCATTTCATCAATATGTATAATTCCATTTCCCTATCCCCTAGATTAGATGTTCATCAGTATTTGACCATGTTGACAACCATGCATGTGACTCATCTCTCTTTTACAACTGTGTACATTCCCAAAATCCTAGGGAATATCAATCTTACTTGTTACTTTGTTGAAGGGCATTTCTATGGCAATGAGGTACACAAGTGGATATGGAAGAAAAAGTGTATTGCGGGATCCAGATCAACTTCCTTTGTACTTGGGATCCCTTCAACTCATTTACCTGACCTTAAAAATGTGTCAGAAATAGAGATGACCAGCTTTACATTTCAAGAGAGCATAATATCAAAGTTTGCTATAGAGAAGCGTAACAGAAACTAACAGGTTGATCACACTTCTGTTCATCCCTTTTACTTTTCACTATGGAAGATTTGTACAGGCAGATCTGAAAAATAGTAACTCCTTTCACTCTTTGCTTTGATCTTTTGGTCGTTGCTATCTCTTCATGAACTTTTTAGTGATTTTTCAGATATTTGGGATATGAGAGGCCAAATTCTGAATTTAAATCTTTTTCCATTAGGCCCAAAAAAAAAGGTCTCCGGTTTCTGGTATGCACGCGCGTCGCCGTAGCCATGCGCGTCGGCAAAATGAAAAGGTTTTTTTTCAATGAAAGATGATGTCTCAAAACCGCCAAACTCACTGGTTTGACTAGAATCCTGCTGCTGCACAATTTTAACGTGTTTTTAGATGGGGTTATGATCGAGAATAAGCTTTATGTGGCCTCTCTGGACTCCAATATATTTGCAATAAGTTTAGTCGGACACCATTTGCAGTCATCAGCCGACATTTGAAGCAAAAAAGTCAGGTAAAAAAAAAAAAAAAAGCCGCGTCGCCGCACCACTTTTTTGGCAAGCTCCATACCAGAAACCGGAGACTTTTTTTTTGGCCTTATGCCCTATTACTTTGGAAAGACCTTGAACCATAATTGAATAAACAATGCGAGATACCGGCAGATCTTCATAGTTTTTGGACAGAGCAAAGCTGATAATGAGAAATCCATGTTCGCCCTACTTTTTTTTGTGATCGGCAACTTTCTCTTGTTTCAACTTCAAAGTTGCATGCTGGAAGCCTGGAAAAGCTATTGAAAACTCCTGAGCTGGGAGAGCATTGACCTCAAATATCTAGCTAACTTGAAGCATTACGCTGTTCTTCAGTGTACAGGGTGAGTAAAAAAAAAACGAAACCCAAATGTCGGGACCATTGTTTTAGTGAAGTTCTGCATGTAGCACTTTCAAAATCTAGGATATGAAAGCCCAATTCATAAGCTTTCTTTTAGTACAAGAATCATTCAAATAACCTATGTACTTTTCAAGTTACTGAATTTTAAACACAACCGCCGTTTTAAAGTTCTGTCCACAGATCACAAAAAAAGGTGTGCGTTCTTTCAGCAAAACCAAAACAATTCACACACATCCTTATGTGATTTGTTTTTGTTTTGCTGAACGACACTGAACTTTTTTGTGATCCGTGGACAGAACCTGAAAACAGCGGTTGTATTTAAAATTCTGTAACTTAAAAAGTACATAAGTTATTTGAATGATTCTTGTACTAAAAGAAAGCTTATGAATTGGGCTTTCATATCCGAGATTTTGAAAGTGCTACATGCAGAATTTCACTAAAACAATGGTCCCGACATTTGCGTTTCGGTTTTTTTAATTCATCCTGTATATGATATAGCAATTCAACATTTAAAAAACAAAACTGGGGATGGGTGGGTGGGTGGGTCAAAACAATTTCCAAAAAAAAATTAGAAATTTTAAAACATTGAAAATTTTTATTGGATGTTACGAGCAAAACCAGCCAATATATATTTAAAAAGTTTGGACTGACTCTCATGGCAGAATTTGTTCCGATTCTCCTCTGCCCAATAATTCTTATTGTTAAAACACTGCGAGTCAATGTGCAGTAGAAACAGTATTACAGTAAACCAGTACCATGAAGTATACCTACCTCACATTTAGCTTTGATGTGTGGAACCAAGCAGGCAATACGAGGATTACTTCTGGCAGAGTAGGTTCTACGTACAATAGCTACAGAGTTGGTTTCATACAAGGCATTGATGATGGCTGATAATGCTACACATCCATGTTGATCTGATGGGTCTGCTACAAAGCAGTACACACTATTCCCAAGTTGCTGGTGACGCTTGATCTACAGTCAGTATTAGAATATAAGATACAGGTACACTAAGAAAAATATCAGTGCATGTGTAATACTTTCGTATATGTTACATGTGGCAAATAAAATATCACATACATGTACAGCATGCAGTTCACAATGATGTAATGAAGTCTTATTGCAGTTCTTTATGCAGGCAGTGCTATTGCGTCATCTCCAGGCAACAGTGCCTGACAGATACTAGTGTTATTGATATTTAACTTGTATGCTTTGACAAGAGTCTAATGTGATGCATATGGCAATGAAGATCTGCTACGAGGTGGCAACAAAACATGCTCGGAACTTTCCTGAATTGTTTGTGTATGACAGAGTCTATTACAACAACACATGATTTGACCAGCTTTAGCATCAAGTCTGGATCTTATATTTGCATGCAATGAGTATGAACTGAGCATAACAAACAAGCAATAGCAGGAAATGTCATGACAATAAGCATTTAAAGTGACTTAGCAATTACTAATAATCGTTTGAACAAAGTGTTCTTGCCTTTTGCAATGGAAATTTTCCTTTCATTGCTTTGCAATATTTCATAGAATCCATATCGTACCATTCATCAAATTATTAACTTAATTCCTTTCTGCTCTTGTTCCAAGAGAATTCTCTTTATAATGTTCAAGCGTTGAGTTGATTTTGTTATGTGTTGTAACATGCATGAGAAATAAAAGATTCCTACATCCAAGACTAACACCCACATCCCCAGCTCCTGCTGGTGGGTCATACTTACACTGTCTTGCTTAGCGAAGCCCAGGACTTGCATAAGTTTACCTGGAGGTTTGTAACCCATGTTAACCTTATCTTCTTCTGAAATAGGTATGATGTCACTACCATAACGATGACCTGACAAAAACAAACATACTGAAGGTGAAGTTTCATTTTCATTGACAGGGATGAGATTGTCAATTTAATAACGGCTAAAAATTGGATGAATGGTCTGAAAGATGCATTTCTTCCTCAAAAGGTGTTTTTTCTCCGATTCAAAAGGTATGATTTCAGACAGAAGTCTAAAAAGCTCATGCCTGAATTGAGTTGCAGTCAGACCAAAAGGTTTGTTATTTCAAATCTAGCAGCATTAGTTGCTTTCTGCCGGTGTGTTTCTCCACTTGTAGCTTTTGTAAAGATATACATGCTGTATATATATACGTCACAGTCAGAGGTAGCATTATTGAGCTGAATGAATCAGGTGGAAACATATGCACTTAGGATATTCACAATCAATGAATTCAATCACTTGTTATTATCAGCCTTTTTCGTTTTGGTTATCACCGTTACATTTTCAAATTCTATTCTGTTCAGCATCACCAATTCTTCACACACCCTCATGCTTTCAAACAATGGACCTGACCTGAGCAGCAGGGCTTAGCCGGCATGGTCTATGATTAATGGCCATGCATCTCATTGCTCATGATTAACATGGTCACTATCAGCTCACACTTATATCACTTAATAAAAAATTAAAAAAAGTTTAAAACATTCCAGAATTGAAGCTTTTCCACAACTGATAACTGTAATAATTCAAAATAATGTTTACTGGTCAAGATTATCAAGGTTTGTGTCTAAAACACAAGCTTTCTAAGAAATAAAATCTACATTTGGTGACGGTATTTGTGGATTTAATCTCAAGTCCACCTTTATGATATTATATACAGTGTATTAACTGTTTATCCAGCCGGAATAAAGGCTCTGATCAGTATTAGCCCAGGTAATTCTACTGCAGAAATACTCCATTTAGGACTGGTGTAAGGATTAAAACTTCGCCCGTGATAATTTTTACATGTACATGCTGTTTTCTTCATCTTTATCATTGACTTTTCTTCAATATTATAATTTTAAAAAATCAACTTTTTTGGGACAAGTCGTTAAAAAAAATCAGAAATTAAGTTACAAAGTTGGTTTTCTGATTAAAATCGGAAAAGTTTCATCTCTAAATACCGGCCAAGCACATACTTATTCCCATCCATAAATACCTTTTGGTCAGAAAGTCCAAACAAGTCAAACCATTTTCAACAATTTTGCTCTACGCTTTTACCCTTCTAGCTACGTTTATGGCATGTGCCTCGCGCAAGTATTACTAAATTATTTCCTCATAATGGATGTGGCGTCAAACACTGCAGTGCCGGAAAAAAGTGTTAAAACTGGTCAGTGTTTTATCAACTGTTTAAAACCACCCTTGTGACGGGCTCTTGACCAATAGGAATGGGTAAACTGTCTTAGGTATTTATGAATAATAGTTAATCACTTCCTTCTGTGTCATCACCATGTTAGTGTGGTTTAAATGAACTTTCTGCTATGTACATCTCAAATCAAATCATTTATGTGCGGTACATGTAAAGTTCAAATCATGTAGTCTGAATATCAACTGAATATAACACATACTACCTTCTATGATTTCCTCCTTTTCCACCTCAGTTTCCTCATCATTATTCAGATGTTGAGAGCGTATTGTCTTGGGTGTGTACTCCTTTCCTTTTCCTTTTATGTATGTTGACTTCCATGATTTCTGGGTGCTCTGTTTTACCTTCAAATCAACCAAAAGTAAATAATAATAGTTGGGAGAAATTTCAAATACTTTTCTCAATCTTGAGTGCATTATTATATTTCATTGATGTGGTGAATATAGTGCATTTGTAATGACTACCTTCAGATATCCACAGACAGGAACTTGGATGTTTGGTCCTATCTCAAGGTTGGCCTTCCATGCTGTTTGCTTCACTGCACGCTTTTCAAAGAAGCTCAAAAGTGACAAGGTCTCACTGAAAAAAAAAAGTTATAGAAAAATCACACTTCTGGAATCCTGAAATACATAGACGTCTTACGCAGATACATAATACTGTGGAAAGGAATCCTTGTGTCCTTGAAGGAAACACTGTGAAGGAACCTCAGAGAGGGATGGAAAATAAAGTGCATTGGGTTGCTGATCCTTGATTGCTGCCATCAAAAAAAAGAACTCTTAAAGATCATCATTTCACGTAAATAAAACTAATGTTTGAATTCTTCCCTATTCAACAAATTATTTAAACTGAAAACACACCTACATGGGTTTTTCTGGTACAGCCCACATAAATCAGTTTGACCTTTACACTTAACGAAATGAAATGTCAAGGCTATCCACTGTTTACTAGAGAGTACATATACATTTAGACATCAAACATTTGCTGACTATCCCAGAAATGTTGTACTTTTTAATGCAGGAAGTGACAACGTCTCTATGACCTAACTAACCTACACGTAAATGCATGGTGAACATCTACAGCAGGAGCAACAGTGACTCATTATTTGCCGTACCTGAATGAGTATTTTTCTCCATCTACTTGATTCCATATGTGCTTGAGTAATGCTTCCCCAGCTCTTTGTTGCGGTGTTTTCTCTTTCTGTCTTGGTTTAGTGAGTGCTTTCCTACCATCACTAGTAGATGGACCATTATCATCTTGGTTTGCATCCTGCCTTCCATCTTGACTTTCCTCATCCTCTCCTTCAAATTTAGGCCCACTGTAATCATTCAAAAGAATACATTGATTTGATGTGAAATCGACAAAATAATAACAATGCACTCTTTAGCGAAGAAATTCCTATATTCTTAGAGACTTTTGTATTCTAAGAGTGTATGATTTTGTTCTATATATACCGTATTACCAACATTCATAAGCTGACCCATACCTAATTCATTACTATGCATTTTGCATCAAGACATTACATCACACAAAAGCAGATTACTCCAGGCACAAGTACACAATCAATAGTGTGAAGGGAGAAATAAAGGCGAGACTCTGATATGCATTGCCACCTTACATCTGGCACCCACACAAAGACGCTACACTGTATGTACCGTATTTTTACACATTCAAATGAAAATAAGTCATGCGTACTTTGATTTTTGAATCACATGTTCACAATCTAGTGCTTAACCCTAACCGCCCCAAAACTACAAAATACTACTGAGTACAAGTGTGCACAACACTGCAGTATTCTGTGGTATTTGGTCCTTGATAGTGTAAGTTTACTGTGTGTTTATACATGTTATAAAGCCCATAACTACCAGCGTGACAACCAACGTAAGCCGTGGCTTATTGAAAATTTGGGTAATGTGACAATGCACTTTCGTATTTTTTAATAAAGTTTGTTCCTCAGTAGCGATATTTTCGATATATTTTTCAATATCGATGTTTTCAAAGTTTCGATATTTTCGATATTTCTCCAAAATCCGATATTTTCGATATATCGATATTACCAAATAACTAACATCGGCGATATCGATATCAAACCAATATCGATAAAATCGATATATCAATATATCGACGGTGCTTACTACATCATTATTACCGTGCTCATTGGGCCAATGAAATGTAAACTAAACACAATCTCAGCTGCCTGGAGAGTATACATGAGGCTTTCACGAATGAGTCCATAATTAATTCAACAATATGTACACATATTAATGTTTGAAGGGCTTTTAAAAATTTGAATCAGATAGGCTTTCATATGTGGCTAATTTCATAACACTTTAAATTCCCAACCAATGAAACAAACAAGTTGCTACAGACAATGTTGGATAAAGTTTACAAAGTTTACCACATGTGCATGCACTACATTGTATACACAAGTATCAAAATGACACTTTCTTTTGCAACTAAGGCACAGAAAGCAGTACTGAAGTCATGGAAGTTCTGATTTGTACTTACATGAAATTGAGTTCAACATTCAGGTCTTTGAGAGCATTAACAAAACCTTCCAGGTTGTCATCACTAAACTGTCCTCCCAGGTCAGAGAACAGTAATAGACGTAGGCTGGTGAACTTCTTGCCTTGTGAGGAGCCTCTCAATAGGTCCAGGGAAACAACAAGAGCATCAACAACTATGTGTGTGTGTACAATGTAAGGAAAACAGTCATGGCAACAGAACATTCACACTACAATACATGTACATGTAATACTGATACCGGTATATTATTATAAACAGGGTAAAAAGTCACAATATGACTGCACTAATCTTGCATGTCAACAGACACAAAGGTCTACCATCACTTGTACAAAGAAAAGAGAGAAACAAGGAGTAAAATATAGCAGGGTGACATTGTCAAGTCTATTTCCTACACATTGAAGTCATTTTTGGCATGTTAGAAATCACATGTACATGTGTATCTACAAAATATGACCTTCAAAGGCATGTTTCACCCCGATTTTCTCATGTTTAGAAAATTATTAGTACATGTACATGTATATGAGGCTTTGCCTCCCCATATTACGGGGTAGGTGGCTTTACCTTCTGTCACCCGCATTGCGAGCAACAGAAAACATGTGAACACATGTGAACACCCATTATGTAAAAGAAGCACCCTTCCTTCTTCTGCATTCATACAATAGACTGCTGCTGCCTTCGATGCTGCACATTTTATAACCAAGCATCAATGCACATAATGCTAAATTATAGAATTAGGAGACAGTTCTACAGTATGTACATGTATACATCTATTTTACGTCTATTCCTACACTTGTAAATTTACTTCATGTATGCGATTTTATATGAAGTTTTTAAATGGTTAATATCCATATGCCCATGCACAGAACACAGTTCAACACAATGCAGTTTATCCATTTTTTGCACTGAACTGATCCGCTTGGAGGGTTGAAATGTTCATGAAAACAATGTAATGACAAAAGAAAAGCAAGTAAAAAATAAGTAGTGTGTACAGCGTGTATCACTGAAATCATTCCAAGGATACAATCAGCAGCCTGCGGTCCTGGCTGTACATCTGTCTTGATATACTGGATCAAATCTAAATCTACTGGGCCCAGAGGTCTGGCTTCAGTAATGTGCTCATAGCCATCATTGGACAGATGATTGGCAGTTCCTTGAGTTCCAAATAGAACTAAGCCAACTTCATCCTTAGATTCACTGAATAACTACAAAGAGAAGTTACATGAATGAATCACCTTGATAATTACTAGATGAGGCTTGGGAACTTAGTGGGAGACTGGAGTGCAGAAACATGAAATGTACTGCATGTTTTTGTGTTTTAAAATAACTCTGGCATAGTGCATTCTGGTTCTTAGCTGGAACTGGCTCTCAGAGAAATATAGAAACAATTAACTGTTAATCAGAAGGTTTTCAATGCCATCAGACAATATGCAGCTTGACTATGTATGTACCGTAGTTGAGTAAAGATCAGTATATGCCATGACTGTAGGGAAAACAACCTATGAGTACCTGGACTGCATGGAATATTCACAATTCAAATTCTGGTGATTTACAATACTGTACGCCACCAAGAATTTGCCACGGAGAGTTTATTTTTCCCAGTGCATAGTTTGAGATGGTCGACAAATTCGCAGCACGGGACATTTGAAGAAAAAAAAAATTCCAGTCAGTAGTTTCGTAAGCATATGATTTGAGTATCTGTTGCCCTTTTCATTTCTTTTTATCAATATGGTGTTTTTTGTAAGGCAGCAGAACGCTATGCCCCAATCTATAAAAAATTACCTCAAGTTGTCTGCTGAGTGCTGACACTCATTCAAATGGGCCATGTTTTGTCGACCGTAAACTTGAAAAATTGACTCTCCATTGCAAACTCTTGGTGGCGCACTGCATTGTGAATCTCCCAAATTGAGAGGAAGTGCATGAAATGTATCGTGGGCATGCTGCATGAGTAATGCAACAGAGTAATCTCAGTTTTTAACTTACTCTTTAGAGCATCTATGCTAATAATACAGATTGCACTATGTATTATAATTATCTTCTTGTGTGTACCATAATAAAATGAAAAACTGATGAGAAGTGGGAAGTATATCCCATTAATGTGACATCCCCCCTCTGCAGGTAAGGTTCACCATACTACCTCAACAACGGTTGACGTGCATTCCTTAATGACAAATTCCTCTTACATTCCTCTTACCAGCAATTTTACATTCTAACGGTACATTACCTTCATGGAACATGTTCCCAAATTAGTACCTAAAATGGTAAAGTGCTTTGTGGCACGTCATCGCACCAGGTAAAGTAACAGTGGTACTTATTTTTGCTTCCCAGAGGGAAATTTTGACAAAACTTGGGTTTACAACTGCCATAGCAAATCACTAAGTTCACATGTACCGCTGATGTGCACGTGAATCGGTAACTGTGATTGCACGGAGTTGACCTGAGGGTGACATCAAGACTTTCAGCGTATGAACATGTACATACCTTCCTTTGTAGAAGCAGTGTAATGACATCAAGTGCAGATTCTAAACATGTTGCATGGCCACTTGGTGCCTGATCCATTGATGGGCCAACATCTAAGCACAGCAAAATTGCCTCCTGTGAGAAAAATTGACAATATTTGTGAAAGGTTCTGTCAAAACCAGACGTTTCAGGGAAGACCTTAAAACTTAGAAAGACACAACAAATGAACATGGGAGGAGGACTGTACACTGGCACTCTGGGTCCAGCAAAGCTCAGTTTGGGGACCAGCGTGAGAAATCTAATTTGGTGCCGAAGTGATACTTCTGCAAGTCTAATTCACAAGTAACATGCGTCAAATTATCCTTAAAAATCCTGAAGTCATTTAAAACAAACTTGCTTTGATTTTCCCTCCAAATTTCACTCAGGATAACCAAACATCTGAAAGTTGGAACTTGGAAGTTGGATTTTTCCCCAGGGCTGCTTGTTAACAAGGTACATACATGTATGTATGTAGCTTCCATAATTAATACACAGGGTGGATAAAAAAAAAAAAAAAACAACGAAACCGAGATATTATTGCTAATTGGAACAGAAGTAGGGCACATGTGAATCAAAGGGAGATATCCTCTGTACACTTTGGGTTGAATTTCCTCTTTAAAATGACACCCCGATCATGTCCTTACCACTGCTTACATTCACAGTTGACTGACATGACTGAGCAGTGACTAGCCCCTTAAATGTGGCCAATTTACTGGACTACCTCCGTAAATAAAGGCCACACTTCCACCATGTACAAAAACATGTCAAACTTTGTCAAATTTTGATTTTCACATTTAGGCTTAGTTTGTAGGTTTTTGTGGCTTTAGAAGCATACTCACCCTCTTCATAGGCTAATCAGAAAGTGCTGCCTTTTTCAGATGTCTATTTTTTGTGAAATTTCAAGATTCATTTGCACACGTTTGCGTATCAAAATTTCAACATGAAATTTCACAAAAAATTAGACATCTGAAAAAGGCAGCACTTTCTGATTAGCCTATAAAGAGGGCGAGTATGTTTCTAAAGCAAAAATAAACTACACTGTACAAACTAAGACTAAATGTGAAAATCGAAATTTGACAAAGTTTGACATGTTTTGTACATGGTGGAAGTGTGGCCTTTATTTATGGAGGTAGTCCAGTACATTGGCCACATTTATGGGGCTAAGCAATGACCAATTTTATGAAAGGGTCTATGCTACTTTTCATGGTGAAATCTCTTTTTTCCCCCAACCTGCCTTGATTGGCAACCAAAGCCTTTCACTCTGTGACAAATGACACCACAAAACCCACAATTAAAAAGTGGCGCAATTCTCTAAATAGGCCGTAGACCCTTTCATAAAATTGGTCGCATTCAGGCATGCCGAAGCTTAGCCCAGGTTGGACTCTGTTGTGTACACGCAACGGAGTCCAGGGTATGAATCTCTCCTGCCATAGCGAAAAAAATTATAACACATTTTTTGCATATTTTTACTTGACGGAGGAAGCTGAAATTTCGGTTATATATTCCTTGTGTCCAGAATTGTGCCTGCGCTGGGTTTAGAAAAGGCAAATATGTCCGCGGGCATCGTGTTTACCGAAAATAAACCGCAATCCCACGCTTTCGTTGAAAACATTTCCGTACGAACTCCCCCTGTGTCTTTCGGGACTTTTAACGATTTTTAATGAATATTAACGTTTAATTCCAAAACTTGCAAATTTTCCCTCGCCGTGTCTGCACACCGGCAGCAAACGGTAGTCCGAGTAACTTGGACCCAACTTATCACCTTTTTAACATTCGGACATGGTCTTGCGATAGTGGGGTCCAAGCTAATCCGTATATGCCGAGCAACACAATTTTTCATCGATGTCAACTTAATCATCGATGTCTACTTGTACAAATGTACCTCATGTTTTTGTTGGGCAATGTTGGGTTTTTGGGACTAGGACAAAATTGTGTTGCTCGGCATATACGGATTAGCTTGGACCCTACTATCGCCAGACCATGTCCGAATGTTAAAAACGCGATAAGTTGGGTCCAAGTTACTCAGACTACCATTCCCCAAAGTCTATAAATTGCTCCATTTTATCTGGGTCAGGGAACCAGACTACAAGAACATGATTGGTTTTCTTGCAATGCAGAATTGAATTACACGGGAGGCTCAACCAGCTCAATGCTGAAGCATCTGTCCAGCAAACATCCCATGTCCGGACAGTCGGGCTCTTCAACAAGTGGGCCTCGCCAGCAGCAGCAAACAATTGCCGGTTATTTTGGACGGCAGGAGTGCAGCCCGGCCAAGGCAGAAAGAATTTCCCAACTACTGGCTGAGATGGTAGCAATCGACTCGCTTCCTATCTCGGTCGTGGAAGGTACAGGTCTTCACCAGCTATTGGGTTTCCTTGAGCCGGGATATACGGTTCCATCTCGTTCAGCGGTGACGGCACGAATCCAAAAGATGTACCAATCGAAGAAAGAAGCGCTAAAGGCCAAACTTGCAGGATGTGACCACGTAGCCCTGACGACGGACTGCTGGACTTTTCGGGGCCAGGAAGGGTTCATGACAGTTACTGCACACTTCCTTGACAGCGAGTGGTCCTCCAAGGATGCCGTCCTGGACACTTCGCCCATAATGGCTCTGGCAGCAGACGACGCAGATGACGAACCCGAAGGACCACAGCGCCATACTGCCGTGGCACTTGCGGCCCAGCTAGGCCGTGTCATTGATGAATGGGGGCTGCAAGGAAAAGTTAGCGCTGTCGTTCATGACAACGCATCCAACGTAAAAGACCTAGGGCAGCGGAACGATACGTTAGACGTTGGATGTGCGGCGCACAAACTTCAGCTAAGTATTAATAAGGGCCTTGAGGCATCCCGGCAGGTTACATCCGCCATAGCAGGAGTCAGCCAGCTTGTCGGCCATTTTCGCCGAAGCACCATCGCGACCAAGGCCCTGGAGCAGAAAGGCCCTGGGCAAGATAACTGACATCACGATCACATTTTAATATCATGTAAAAGAACATAATAGACAAATAGGCTTACAGTACAATATTAAATTACTAGGTAAGAAAGTTAATGACAACATCCATTGTAAAACTGAAATCGATTGTTTCAATTTTAAAACGTGCACGTACTTATGATTTCCTTACTTTAGGTGGCTACAACATGTCCGTCTTACGGGAGCAACGTGAGTGGAAGCTGCGTATATCCGATAATTTGCGGCCTCCAAGGTCATCTCCAGATGAAAGACGAAGACTCGGCTCCCGTGAAGGCGTTGAAGACGGCTACATGTAACGACTTGGCAAAAAGGTATACATAAAGATTGCTATTGACCACGTCTACTTCGGTAACTACAAAAGATCATAGGAATAAGCCGATCGTCTTGGTTGTCTGAGTGTGTCGATACCAAGTCTACTTCGGTAACCACAAAAGATCATAGGAATCAAAGTCTGTTCTATTTCGATTTTCGGCAACCACAGAGGATCAAAGATTACAACTTGGGTTATTGCGTTCTCAATAGAGTGTTCAAACGCCGACAAAAAGTCATTTTCAGTAGATTTAAGCATACAACATGAAAGATAAATTTTCTTTCTTAACGATGTTTTGCTTGTTTTTTTTTTTTTGTAATCTTTCTTGAACAGGTTTAGCGGTGAGATTGCTGATGTCCCGCTTCTCACACCAGTTGTGGATCCCAGATACAAAGACCTGGGTTTCCTTTCCAATGCGCAACAGGAGCGAGCAAGAGATGGTTTACGCGAGATGCTGGCTACAATTACTGCAGCACCTCCTCAGAAGAGACAGCGCATGGAGACTACTGAGGAAACGTCAGCAATGGCGTTCCATTTGAGCGGTGGAGCCAAGGTGGTTGGAGATGAGGAGACACCCGAGGAGGAGAGGGCGGAGAGGTCACCTTTGGACGACTTTGCCGAATATCTCCGCGCCAAACCAGCCAGACTTGATACAGACCCATGTCAATGGTGGCTTGCCAACTCGCAACATTACCCATCAGTAGCGAAGGTCGCAAGACAGCTCCTCTGCATTCCGGCAACCTCAGTTCCATCAGACCGGGTCTTTTCTACCACCGGCAACATCGTGTCTGCAAAGCGCAGTTGCTTAACATCTGAAAACGTAAACATTCTCATTTTCCTGGCGCAGAACTCAAAATTAAATCTCTAGGTTGACCAACAGCTCCACAAGTCCGCCAACTTCAGTGCAAGTTATCACGTCTGATTATTCACTTATTTGTTGTTAAGTTGAGAAATTCCTCCATTTTTGTTTATTGTGTCTAGTTTAATTGTGTCCAGTTTAATTGTGTCCTCAGTTGTCGTCCAGATCATCTAGAGCATTGATAACATTTCCAAAAGTGCATTTTAAAAGTTAACCATCTGACTCCTTATTTATTATTATTGAGCATTTTAGAGCTGTTTGGATAGTATTGTGTATCAAAGGGTAACTTACTAACTAACGGCTCCATTACGGCTATTACGGCCACGGGATATATACAACTGATGGAACTTGGAACACTAGTAGGGCCTTTCCAATCCCAGTTCATAATTTGTTTTTCTTGTTCTAAAATAAATTGTTTTCATATCTACATCGAAGCCATTGTTGTTTATTTAAATGTTCCTATATTTGTGTTTTTTTTAACCTTTTGTATCAACAATGAACCAGTCCGGTACCAGTTCCGTTCCTCTAGTTTCCTGCTTTCGTTTAATAAAACTTAAACTGTTCAGAAAAGTCAAAACTGTTTGTTAATTAATTGTTTTTCTTTAACCCGATTTTTTCTGATGTACGATGTCTCAAAGCCTGAGAAAGTTTTAAGGGCATTTATAATTTCCTATGATCGAACAAAGTGTAGATAAAAAAAATATACCTTTAACAACAAATGATATAATAAAAAAAATAACCGCGCGCCAATATTTTCTGCGGAACTGGCCAATCACAACGCACGTAAGAAGTGCAACTTGATTAGCGTAGTACAGCACGCATGCGCCGGGTCCCTATGATAAAGCACGACACCATTTGTGCACGTGCTTTTATTTACTGTTAATAGTACTGACTAATTCATGCTACACCGGCACGGTGTAGCATGAATTTAGGTTTTATGAAATACGGACTCATTG